ACCTAAGGCTGGAGTCTTATCTCATTTTTCTTTATTTCAGGGAGTGGTGGAAAGAAAAGACTAGCAGACAGAGCGGTGTACGTGTGTGTGTGTGTGCGTGTGTGTGCGCGTGTGTGTATATGACTCACCTGTTATGGCTGGGACTGTTTTGGTCTCCTCACACCCACACCGGCCCCTCTGAGCTTCCTCCTGCAAGCTGTTCACACAGGAAAATGCTCTTTTTGTGTTTTTCCTGTCGAGCGTCTTTCTTTACTTGTGCATCATTTCTCTTCACACTTTTTTTTTTTTTTTTTTTTTTTTTTTTTTTTACTAGACTGTGTCTGTTGGTCTGACACACACTCACACAAACCACTTGACATTGATTGGCTGACTGGGTCATGTTTAATATTCTATGTTGTGGTGAGTTGGCAGTGCGTCTCACCGATTCCCTTTGGTGGCATCATGACTGGCGCTGTGGGCTACACGCACGCATGCACACACACACACACGAACAGGAGAGGCTGCCTGTGTGTGAGTGTGAGTGTGAGCGTGAATGTGTGTTCACTATATTATGAATGATTTGCTAATAAGCTTTTCAGCACCAACAGCAGAAGAGAAAATTATCTCTTTGTCAATGTTGTCGGTACGGCCCTGGAAGAAAACAAAGTCAAATTTTAATTTGTTAATCAAATTTCAATTAACCTCTGCGCGTGAATTGATTCGAAATGTATGAAATGTATTGATATGCAGCAACTTCTCCTAGCCAGCTGCATAAGTAGGTACCACATATGCTATAGGTTAGTGTTGATTACAGTGTTGTGTTAGATTTTGCGCCTCCTGAAATATTGATCACTGGCCACTTCCTCCTTGTTCGGTGCATGATCAGCAGCCTGCCAGCCACTTTATTCTCAACCTACCTCAGCGCGCACATCTCCAAACAGCATTCTAATATATTATTAATGCTCTCACAGTTGCACAGAACAGCCCTCCACCCACGAGTATCCATTACTCCCTCTCAGTGCAGTTAACCAATATGCACTGCAGAACAAATTGGTCCAATTAATTTAAATTAAGGTGGAGAGGGAGAGAGCAGGGAACGAGAAGACAGCAGACAGTACCAGAAAATGAAGTTGTGTATCTGAGGTGAAAGGTTGATTTCCCATCACATCTGTTACTGTACAACTGCAGGTTTTATGCTTTTGTATTATCTTTGAACCACCTACAACAAAAGGTTCTGAAAGATCATTTCACCTAAAATGGGAAAGCCAGGAGCATCCAGTAATCGTCATTCCTTTATAAAGATATCAGCATGGACAGTAGCTAAGCAACAGTAATGCCATGAGTATGCTGTAGAAGAAAACAGGACATATTTTTTCAATGCAAGGTCCAGTTAAATGAAACAGATGAACTTAAAAAAAAGAAGTGCTCCATTAACTCTTCCTCCACTTTTTTTTTTTTTTCTCTCCACAGGATCCGGCCTGACAATGACTTTTATCCCCCGAGCACAGACATTTCCCAGCTTTCTGTCTGATGAGCCAGAACAGGAGGAGAGCCAGCACCAGGAAGAGGCACCATCACCCTCTAGTGGCTGTGAATCCAGTTGCAGCCTCAGACCCCTTCAATGACAGAGAATTGCTCGACCAAAACTGGACACTTTACCCACTACTGTAGAGAGGATGTAGAAATATGTATAGTGACGTGTAATATATCATTTCCTGGTGATACTTTAATAATAGTGTCAACTGTAGAGCGAGTGGTACATGAAGAGTTGTCCTAAAAAAAGATGTTTTTTTTTTTTTTTTGTATGTTGTGTGACAGCAGCAGTAGCTTCAAAGATTGCACCAAAAATCCTTTAAGTGTAGCTTTAAGGTGTTTTATGTTGCCATTAATCCAGCATGACCCCCATTTTTTTTTTTTTTTTTTTTTTTTTTTTTTTAAATCACTCCACCTCCACCTCACAAGAAGATACTGAGAAACCAAGGTCTGCTGTAAAACAACGTTAAAAAGGCTTTTGTTCTGAAAATGACAAAATCACATCAGGCTCATTCTAAGAATGTGCAGCCTCAGCAATCGTTTCCCACTTTTTTTTTTTTTTTTTACCATACTCTGTTTTCTCTCAAAAATGTGAAAGTGATCAATGCCTTACACAAAAACCGCTTGACTTTGATGGCAGTGATGAATCAGCGAAATCCCTAAATCGGTTACAACCAGCAAAAGGAAAAAGTCATTCAGAAATGTGCTTCAAGGATATAGGAGTGGACTGCCATGTCAGAAATGATAGAATGCAGCCTTCTCACAGCCATCTCTCCCATTAAACTGCCAACCTTACATTACACTGGCAGTGCAATTTGATTTTAATAGCTTCCTAGCTCTTCCCCAGCCTCATATACGCCATCTGATAACTGGTTCATTATTAAAAGGAGAGAAGTGAAATGTTGGTGACCTGATGGGGCGGGTTGTGCGAGGCAATAAAACATCATGGTAATTTTTAGCCTTTGGTATGTCATGTTCATACAAGATTTAAACTTAGAAAAAAATAGTAACATCAATATATTTCTCTGAGAAAAATGTGAACTCAGTAAAATACAATTAGTTTGATATTATTTGAAAATGCACTTATTTACTGTCTTGACAGAGGTTAGTTGACACTATTGATAGCACTCTCAAGTCAGTATCCTAAACATGTTAGCTTAGCCTACCATAAAGACTGGAAACATGGTCAAGCAGCTAGCATGGCTCTGTCCAAAGCACTGGTAGAACTACAACTTGTCACATTTACAGTTTATTAAAAATAAAAATTAAAAAATTAAAAAGAGGTATAATGTGTTCAGTAGTGAGCTTTAGAGGTACCAGTCTGTGGAGTTTGTTACTGACTGGGCCAAACTAACTGTTTGCTACTGTTTCTCTTTGTGCTAAGCTAACTAAGCTAACCAGCCGCTGGGGGTGGCATAGATCTTCTCATTTAACTCTTGTCAAGAAAACAAGTACACTTCTTTAAAGTCAAACTATCATTACAAGCCTATATTGATAAAAAATAGTAGCCTGAAAACAACCCTTTTTTCCAAAAAAAAGAAGAAAAAAAAACTCTTAGATATCTTGTGCCATCTTCTTTTCCATCCATTAGCAACAGTATTAAGTAAAAGGAAATTATATCAGTAGTCCATGTCACTAAAATAACCAATATCAGCAGAAAACCTATAAAATATTTTCATTACATCCATAGCATGTGAGTGAAATGTATCATTGAATATGTGACCGCTGTGATGATAATGTTCTCCCTCAGTAAGAAGTGCCTTCTGACACAGACCAGAGTGTTAAACCTAACCAAAGCAGCGTCTTTGGGCCTCGAGTTTACCATGGTGGACAAAAATAGTTAGCTCTGTACCTTCAAAACTGTTTTGAAAAGTCTTAAGTTTCTCCTAAACACTGTAGACCCAGCTGTGAAAATGCCATATCACATCTGAAATACAAAACCTAACCGGAGATCTTTTATAAAGTTGAGTGTGACACTTGTTGCCTGTTGGTGGTTGTCAGCAGAGATCGATTCATCTTTTCAGATATATGTGGTAAAGGTGTTTGTGCTTAGCATCAAAGTGTGAATCTTTCAAATCCAGAAATTACAGCCACAATTAACACTTCAATGAAAAAAAAAAAAGGATTCCAGTGACAATCACTTTAAGGCAGCAAAGCGGTCTTTCACTTTCAAACTTATTCACTTTTTTTTGATGATATTGCTTTCTCTTGGGTTTATATCTAGAGATACAGTAGGTACTATATTCCTGGAGAAGTGGATATAAATGGACATGCACTTATTTTGTGTTAAAGTTGAATTTTGCAGTCACTTTATTTTGTATATTGTTTTTAAGAGAACTCGACTTTCATATCAATTTGAGCCTAAAGCGAAGTGCCCATCTTAAAAAAGGTCTCAGTCTGGATCACAGACTCTGTCGTACGAGTACGCAGGAAGACAGTTGACATATCTGGCCACATTTCTGCTCTAGTTGTCTCGAGTCTTACAGTAGCTCAAGTGTGGTTAATAAATGTATGTATAATAGTTCCACTACATCTGGAGCGGTAGAGCTACACTGACTGAAATGTCTGGAGAGAGTTAGTTGACAGTGTTTTATTATTTGCAATTTTTTGTTGTTTATTGTAGCCATTCACTTGTTCGTAGGTATGATGTGTCATATTTTCTGTTATTGTTACTATATGATTGTGTTAGTGTCTGCATTTTATGTTCTGTTACTGTCAGATTATATGTTAAAAGCACTTTGAATACATTGAGTGTAGGACTACAGTTTTCACTAAATGTACATATGTAATGTTTTTGATGATAAAATGGTAATAAATTGAATGTTCTATCATGTATCGGCATTTTTCTTTCAGTCTGCAGGCACGTTGAGTACCAGGTAAGTAAAATTTTAAAGGAATTTGATTTTTAATGACGAGATTGACAACACTCTCACATCTGCACAGTAAATATGAAGCTGCTGCCAGTAGTCACTTCAGTTTTTATATGATTTAATCAAAACATGATACAATGTGTTAACCAGAGAGCTTCAGAGGTGGAAATCCCATTTTACAGTAAATTGTTTGGTTTCCTAGACGTAGTTTTCAATCTACAGTTTCTATTTCTTTCAGTTTAGTTACCCACTGTCACACCCCCACATGACAGGAAACAAGCGAGTGGCTTTATTGGCTTTGACACTATGTTTCATTTATATAATAGCATGTCACTAACAGTCACATGATCAGTTTTAAGTAATGCTGGTCACATACACAGTATCACAAGTATCGCAGTCAAATGTACACTTCCAGGTTCCGCTGTTTTGCCAGGAACAGCAAGATGAGAGAATGAAGGCAAAAACTTGTGATTCCAAAACTATATTGTCCCTTTATGTTCCACATTTCTACCTTGTCCACATTTGTGTTGTTTCCTAGCAGAAAAGCCCGCATATCCATTACTGCCTCTGCCACTGCCTCCATTTCTATGGAGATAAATTAATCACATAACACATAAACAACACAGTTTAATAGTGCTACCGTAAACCTTAAATACTGATTTACAATAGCATATAGGCAAGCTTGAAAATCATAAAAACAATAAATATAACTTGGAAAACTTGTGACAGCTTATCATAAAAAAAAATACGTTTGTTTTTTAATTACATTTCATAAAGCTGAATAAAAAAAAATTAAAAAAAACCTCAAAGATTCTTTAATAAACAAAAGATAGACAAAGTATCAGGAGCTATAAACTGAAGCACAGGATTAGCTAATTAGAGCTTCGCTTTCATAATAAGAGCGTGTTGCAACTAGAATGCAGCCATCCTAAACAGAGAGTCCTTTGGGGAAAGCAACAGTCTCAAGTGATGGTACAGTGCTGAGTGACTGCTTTTCTTTTCCGTTAGATGATTAGACACCATTGTCAAGCTTTGAATGGAAACCAGGAGGGATGAAAATAAAAGGAGAGCAATTACACAAGCTTTTGTCAATCGTTTTACTCAGGGGTTAGGGAAGTGAAAAGAATGATTATACAGACTTTTGTCTGCTCTTTCTGCATGATGGTTACTGTCATATTGTTTTGCCCAAAACAAATATTTTCCCAACAGTAATTATGCAGCACATACTACATTTAATTACGGGCCTGACCCAACAAAACTCGTCAGCGTTCTGAGGCTTACATGAGCACCAGCTTGTTAATGCATTTCAAATTACTGTACGAATATTAATCGGTGTCAGCGAGATCCCTGCGCCTTATTAAAAAAACTCAAATAAATTGTGCTCAGCGCTTGTCAAAATACCTTTATTTTTGTTCATATACATGATTTGTTTGTAAAAAACTCTGGCACGCACTGACATCTGCGTCAGATAAAAAACTACGCGTTCACATTATGCAGTACATCATATTTATGTGTGCTCATTTATCATGACGCTGACGTCTGGTTTTGTGCGATTGCACAGTCTGAAGGTTGGCATACACAGGGCAAGTTCTTATCTGTCTGGACTTCTTTGTAATCCTGGGGCACATTGGGATGTTCTCGTACAAGTTGGGCTGTGAATATGTGGTAAACGTTGTGAGTGTTAGAGGTGTTACACACAAGGACATGTGGCAGGTTATGAGCAGCTTGGCAAAAAGTAATAAACTGTCACGCTAAATGGGCTCAAATCGGAATATGTGAAATATGATAGCATAAAATCACATTGTAACACAGCTGTTATTACATCATTAAAGAGGTGAGAAATTTTATTAAATATTCTCACACTAAAAACATTTATAAATAATGCAGTATATTTTTTATTTAAATAGGAACATAACTGAATTATTTGAACCTTTACATCGTTAATCAGGAATACGATTGCTACACTCATTCACATTCATATTACCAAGTCATTTATAAGATGGAATTACATTTTCAACCAACTCTTGCTATACTTTTGCTACAATTTGACAAGCTGCTGTATTACATTATCCAGATGCTGTTACACTGTCAGTTACTGTAAAGCAGCATTAGTTGCGAGCATACATTGCAATGTATCAGGTTACATGATGATGGGATGTGCTGTATCAAATAAGATTAATGGTAAAGTGTTATGGTATTGTAATTAAGAGCATGTCTGATGAGAAGGTTGGGGAGAGTCTTAAGGGTGTCAAGTGTAAACACAAGAGTAGATATGATGAACGCGGCAACGCTTACCTGTCTCTGAGATGGGTGCAGTTTGACTCTGTATTCCTCTCTCCTGTTCTTCTTCCTGCGGTGATTATGAGGCAAAAGTAACCAATCAGCACTTGAGGTGCTAGGAAATACCAAAAATGTGTTGTTGTTTTTTTTTTTACCATTGTACTTATAATAAAGCAAATTCCCACTGCGCTAATGTTATTTCCTTAACAATACGAAAACACTAATTATCAAAGAATAGTGTAACATTTTGAAGCATATGATGGTGATGTCGGTCGGTCCGCCACTTTGGTCCAAACTAAAATATCTCAACAACAGCTTGATGGATTGCCATGAAATTTTCAACTAACATTCGTGATCCTCCGAGGATGAATCCCACCGACTCTGGTGATCCTCTGACTATTTCTCTTGTGCCACACATGTTCTCCTCTGTGATTACAGAACAAATGTCTCAACAGCTATTGCATGGAATTGAATGTGGTTACAGTAGCTCTAGAGAGGGCCTTTCATGTTTTCATGTTACCTGAAGCCACCGTAGATTCTCCTACACACTTGGAAAGGGAGGGGTGAGGGGAAGGGGTTGGTTGCAATCTGCATCCTGACAGCTAAATGCCACTAATTCCCACACACTGGCCCTTTAATAGGACAGAGATTTTGGCACCTACATAAAGGGCCCGAGGCAGCTGTCAAAGTAAGAGTTGATGCCACGATGATGATGATAATGATGATGATACAGTGTGCAGAATATCAATTTTGCGTAAAGTTTATTATAGATATCAAACCAAATCTATTTCCGTATCATATATAACTCCGAATTCATTCAGATTAATTGACTCTTAATTCTTAAGTCAAAGAAGTGTGATTTCCATCTGTGCTGGAGGCCATTCTATCTGACAGGTCTTGTGTATTTTGTCCATATCTAAGCAAAAAATCTAGCTACAAGAAAATTGGTGAATGCCACAAATTTTCTTAAACTGCTCACATGTTCCACTTAAGAGCGAACCTGCTCGTGCAACTGATTCTTGCATGTGGCTCATTCACGTTCTCTACACAAAGAATTTAAAAAAAATAATTCTGTGGTACCCGACCTTTCTTTATATAAAAACATCCAATTGGTTGGTTTACGACCACATACCCTGCACTTAGCATTTTACTCTAATTAGCAATGATTCTTTACTCTATTAGCATGCTAACATGTTAAACTCAGATGGTGAAGCTTAAAAACAGCATGTTAGCATTGTAATTGTGAGCATGTTAGCCAGCTGATGTTAGCATTTAGATCAAAGCAGAACTTCTACTCACTCAGTTATATCTTATTCAATTATGTCACTCAGCCCTGTGTTTAAAACTGCAAAGATCCAAGCACTTGATGTCAGTAAACAGACAAGACCATTATTTTACAATCAAAATTAGTTTTGATGTTTTTTTTTTGCAAAAGATGCAGAAATAGACAGTGTGAGATCTTACCTTTGCCTTAATGCTACTATGCTGATGACGATGAATAGAACAAGCACAGCAGTTCCAGCCCCGATGTAAATAAACATCATGTACACAGATAGGCTGAATCCACCTGGTTATAAAATGAGAGTAAATAATGAAAAAAAGGAACAAAACAACCTGAAAGCAATGATTTTCTTCTATAAGGTCTTCTTTTTTTTTAATTATCATTCTTGCCTTCATTTGACAGCAGTAGTAAAGATATAGACTGACAAAACATCACAATGAAGCATACATGTAGCACACACTCACACAAACATAGCTTCAAAGTAACAATACTCAGAGACAGACCACAGGATGCTGTGGTTTAAGCAGGTGTGAATTTTTGCAAAGCTAACACTGCTGAAAAGGTAACATTATTGTTTCCATTACGTTTCATCAATCAATGTACTCTGTGAAGTACATTTTCCTCCATAAATCATTTTAAGGATGAGAGACGATCAGTCATACATCTATATGTACATTGGTGTTAACCTTTAACCTCAGCGTGATGTCTGTCTTTGTACCTGGAATTGCCACTGAGAGCAGCACAGTGGTGGTCTGCACCCCAACATCTGTGCTGAAGGTACAGCGGTAGAAACCTCCATCGTCCAGCACCACACCTGTCAGGTGCAGGCTGACATCCAGGCTGTCGGCACAGCTGACCGTTCCCCTGTCGCTGTAGTCCTCGCTCACCAGGCCCATTTCAACCTTCTTACACACACCGATGATGCCCCAGGGCTGGCTGTGCGGCATCCTCTCCAAAATGACCTGGTGAATGGTACCGTTGTGCTTGTGGTTACAGCCGATGGTCAGGTTGCTGTTTTGCTCTGCCTCCAACTCTATGTCTGCTACAGTCACCTCTGGGGTGAGTGGGCTGGGTGCCTCTGTGATATCTTCTTCTTCTTCGGGGGGCTCATCTGTAAAAACAGGAAAGTGGAGAAAACAGCTTGTCAAAGAAAAACAGAAACCTAAACGCGTAGTGGAAATTAAAAAATAGTAATCTGTTAACTTTCATTTCCAACAGTAGGGGGTTGGCTCATAATCTCACTTTCACAAAAAAAGTTAAGTCCAGGTTGAGACTGAGCCACTTGATAAAGCGCAGCCTTTCTTAAATAAATGACAGTCACACTGTCTGTCCGCTGCTTTACCTAAATCCTCCACCTGGACGTTCCTGGTCCAGGGTCCTTGAGGGAAGGTCTGAACAGAGCAGTGATACAGCCCAATATCCTGATGAGTGACGTTCATCATGGAAATACTTCCATCCATAGGTGTGGTCCTCAGGAACTCTACCCTCCTCCTGTAATGATGAGAGAAGGCCACCCCGTACTCTGGATGGAAAACAGCAATTGGATACTTGTCTGGCACTTTAGTCCAGGACACCATGCTGAGGTTGCCATCCCAGGGACACAAACAGTCAAGAACCATCCCTTCCTCCAGTCGAACTGTAACAGCCTCTTTCTGCTGGACAGCAACTGGACAGAGTGCATATTGTCAAAATCATCATATCAATACAGTTACGAATTTATACTCGTTCACAGTCTCATCATATTAAAAAAAAAAAAAAAGAGGTAAATGACACATTGTTTGTATGTTTACAACTGATTATATTTTAACATTTTCATTTATCAGTTCAGAAGCCCTCAACATGTAAGTATTCATGATTACACGTGTGCGATGTGGCATAAAAGGCTTTCCCCCCTAAATTCCTCTACTTGAAGCCAGCCATTCAGAGCTTTGAGGCCATCCGTTGGGTAATGGTAATTAGGCTAATTTGAGCCAGTACACATAAACACGCCTAACAATAGTCGGTGATCAAGCTTCCAAGTTTTCAAAGCCTTTCCCCCCCCCCCAAGCTGAATGACAGCTGATTTCGATCTCGGTGATGCTCTATAGGGAGACTTACGGCAGGTTCGGAATAATAATGTCTCAGAGTATCACAAAACTTACAACAACAAGCATTCCTACAATCTTCCCATCCAATTTAACTAAAAAGAAACTGTGGAATAAAGGATACTTTTAATTACTGATTATGAGTTAAACATAATCACATAAACTCACAGTTTCCTGACTATCTTGGAAGACAACAACGAATATCACTTTTATCAGTGTCAATAAAGGTTCTATCACGGGCCTGTTATAAGAATAATTTATTGAAAACATATAAGTATAAAAAAAACAAAAAAATCAATTCCATACCTTTAAGAAAAGGGAGAAAGATGAGTACCACAAAGTACCAGTGGTCCTTTTGTACAGCTTCCATCTTGCCCCACCGAGGGAGAATGAAAGCTGCATTGATGAGACAAGTGGAGAGGCACCAGAGCTGCACTTCCTGCTAGCTCTCTGCCTACAGAGAAACACTTGAGCTACTGGGGCACACTTCATGGCAGCCCACTGTTAGCTCATTCCACACAGAAGGGGCACTTTATCACCAGGGCTGGGAATGGGAGGCAAGCTTATGGCATAATGCTGCACGGTGGGATACATACTGAAGTTTTCTAGATTTTATTGACATTGTCCACCGCCGCCTAAGATTCAGGTTTGCATCTTGTGTACAACAATTTTTCACACCTCAGTTCGGACTTTTGATGGTTGGTGTGGCATTTTGAAATATAAATTCATGACTAAAGGATGTAAATCTTGAGCCATCCCAGCTGTCTCAACAACAATTTCATGGATAACCATTCAATTTTGTACAGACACTCATGGTCTCCCCAGAAGATGAATCCTATTGATTTGAGTGATCCCCCAAATTTTCCTCTAGCGCCACCATAAGGCTGACATATGTGGCACAGACAGAAATATCTCGACAGCTACTGGATGGATTAAAGGAATTTGCTAAAGATATTAAAAGTCCTATATGGGTAATGTCTAATGGCTTTGGGGATCCCCTGAACTTTCGCGTCAGCATGCGGTTAATGAGGGTTTTTTCACTGAAATTTAATTTTATGACTTTCATGGTCCACATATGATTTACCTTAAGTTTGCTGACCTTTCATTCATTCATTTCAAAAGTGAATTAACAAATATCATTAGCAAAACTTGCTGAAGTGAAATGGTGAACATGGTAATCAATGTACCTGCTAAACATCAAAATTCTGGCATTTTCATTGAGCATGTTAGCATGGTGATGTTAGCAATTACTTCAAAGCACTGCACAGCCTGGCATATTCACATTACCGGTATAAAAGTGACACTGCTCTTGAAAAGTAAAGCATCATTTGTACACTTGTTAGACTGAAATCAGACCATACAAGACTGTGTCTAAAATCTGCCACTTGGCACTTTAATATCAAAATTAATTAATATTTCAGTATAAAACATGATACTAAACAAACAAACCAAAAAATATATAAATACATTCAGTTACTTAACAGCTGGGAAAGGTTTTCAAGGCACTTCAACAGGTAGGCACTTGTAGGCTCCTGCTTGTTCTCTGCATCTGCAGGTTACAGAAAATAAAACACAACTGTAAACAATGGGACATGAAAATATAATGTTCAGATTTAGTGCCAGCACAGCTGCTGACATTCCTTCATCGAAGTGATTAAATTCTTACCTTTCTTAGAGATGGTTTGTGCCTCCTCAATTCTCAATCGCACAGAGGGACACTTCAAAGTGGCCTTGGCCTTTGAGGGGAAATTACAAAGACAAATTAGGAAGAGTTATGCTGATGGGTCTAAAACCAGGAGAGTACATTTTTTTCAGTTTTATAATCGTGAGATAAATGAGGTCGGCCATCTGTACGTGAGAGTAGAATGAAGATTTCAGGCAGATTTATTTATGTCTAACAGGCATAGAAGCAGATAGCATGAAGACACCCCAGGACTTAATTTGACATATATCACCAATAAACCCCAGCCAATAAATGCAGTCACTAAAATAAACTTTAAGAGCTTGGTGGCATGTTTGTGTATGTGTGTATGTGTGTGTGTGTGTGTGTGTGTGTACCCTCTGATTGTTATGGAGCAATGCCCAAAGTGCAGACGCTCCCATACAGCGAGTCTCCAACTCTTTACTTTCCAGACAGCATAACAATGACTTCATGGCTTTGTCTGAAGGACAGATATGCAGATAATCAGAGGCGTTCATCAAATGTGAAATGGCCATCAATTTGCAGGAAAAAAAAAGTAATATATTCCTTAACTTAGAAAGTCGAGAGCAGTACCCTTCAAAAGGATTGTAATTATCAAAATTCATATTATATATTGGCATATACTGTAGAAAACCTTTGACCTGGATAAAACATACTGAACAGAAAAAAATAAATTAAAAACAAAATTTAACAAAGGAAATCTTAATGATCGATTCAACACACACAGGAAACATGATCTTTGCACAGGAAACACAAATAATGTCACAACAGATTACACCCACCAGGACCCACAACTCCCACCTGCAGCTTGCACTGCATGGGGGGGATAGAACGTGTCTTTAAGTCTTCTCTGCAACTTCCTCTCCTTTCTTCATCTACGTGTTTCGGAATCATTCATCTACATACACTGAACACCTGCTGCATCCTTTCTACTTTCCTGAACTTAAATGTGACTCGCTCTAAAAAAAAAATACCCGATACTTAACTTCTTACACTTTACTCAGTATTTCCATCATGAATATTTTTGACAGCTAGTTACTGACGATCAAATGGTTCCTGTTCTGAATCCATTATAGAGACAAAAACTGCCACTTCCCATCATTTTTTTAAACTGTGTTAAGTGACTTTTTTTTTTTTTTTTTAAACACTGGAAGGAAAAAAGACTCCAAAACAAACCTTCAGGTTTGATATGAAGACTGTGTATAAAGACGATTTCTTCGGGTAATCAGAAAAGGTAAAACCAGTTTCGAGATTTAACCATTAAATTAATGTTAAAGCAATAGTTTGACATTTTGGTAAATATGCTTGTTTGCTTTCTTACAGAGAGTCACAGTAGATGAGAACATTGATAGGTCTCACACCTGCGCTTTAAGCAGACAGCTGGAGCCAGGTTAGCTTAGCATAAATGCTGAAAGCAGAGGAAGTCAGGTCCCCTACTTACAGCACACACGAGCGCAGCCATTGATCCTTTCGTGTAACTTATTGCAAAAAAAGCAAATGCATTTCCTAAAACAATTTGTTTAATATCAAATGACTTTCTTCTTCTTCCTTTAATGTGAGTAACCGCAGAGCACCTCATCAATGAGATGGTGTTTTTATCAGATGATGAAAAAACACTGATACGTATCAAAACCAGACTTTCCTTTTGTAATTTGCTGCTTAAACACTTTCATATTTCTGCACGAGATCAATAGATTCAACCGCTGCTTTCCTTTCATACCATTGGCAATGATGTGCGGCTTGTTGGCAGGGCAGAAGCAGAGGTTGTGAAGGGTGAGCAGCGCATGGCGCCGGAGAGGTGCCAGGTCTGCCAGAAGCTCCAGGGCTCCGGTCACCCTAAGGATGCTCTGCTGGATGTCTTCCGCGAACGAGAGACTGACCAGCAGCCTCAGCCACAGGCCCAGTAGGCTGCCACCTCCACCCACAGACGTGGCCTTAACACCACCCGCCCTGGGCATCGGCACCGACGGGAAAGCTTGCAGGAAATTATTCTGAAAATAACAGAAAAGGATGAAGTGAAATTTGATGAGTTCCAGTGTGAAAAGATGATTAAGAACTGCTCCTCAGTTTAGAAAATATTTCCCCAGCCAGCATAGTGTAATTGTGAGTGAAGCTTATGTTATTTATAACATGTGATCCATGCTATATCTCACATAAGTAAACTTTATTTGAATTGTTAATTTGTTTTTAACAGCCATTTAAAAACAAACTTCTGTTGAAATGGCTTATCTGACCAGGTTTATATTTAGGAATAGAAACTGATGCTCATGATTTCTGAATCTTTCATATCTCTCTCTCAGGAAAAACAAATATATTAAAATTTATATTTTCTTTGACTTATCAATTAGACGTTTGTCTTGCCTAATAAATTTATGCCATTATTATATCATGTTCAAAAAATTGTGCGCTGTGAACCTTTTGCAGGAGCCCTCTGCAGTCGCGGGACATGGCGAGGTTAGCCAAGAGAGAGAAGGCTAGCTTCTGGATAGGGCTGTTGTCTGGGGCGACCCCTGCGGCCAGCTTCATGACAGCGTGCATCAGAGAGCTACTGGAGGTGCATTTCAATCCTGGTGGAACACCAGGACCGCTGCCACAAAGAGAACTGCATGCTGGGAGAGAGGAATTACATTTATATAACCTTTACAATCATCAAAACATTTTAGAAATACTGTGGATAGATCTAGATCTATCACACACCAATGGAGACACACAGTCCACAAGCATGCACCCTGTCCCAAAGGCAGCCAATCAGGAGTACTGCTGATTGACATAATTGTGCTGACACCAAAAAAAATAAAAAATAAAAAAAACAGCAGCCATTCCATCCTTTTCCACTAAGGGCTATGGTCAAACACAATGGACTGTGGATTGTGGGTGGAGCTAATGCGAGTAGCTAAAATGTAATGTAATATTCAACCTAAAAATTTAGCATTCTAATGTATGCAATAGGCAAGTGTCACTTATTGACAAATGTGCAAATACAATATTACATGAAGCTTACAATTACAATTACAAAAACAGTGGCTTCAGTCTCGTTATATGGGAAGTGTTAATCAAAACAGTAAACATCCTTACAGTCTTTCTGGTGTGCACTGTATTCCTACTTACTCTTAGCAGCTATGCTAGCCAATTTTAGCATCAAGAAAAGTCAAACACAAACATAATGAAACACTTTTTCTTCTTGTTGATGGAACTGGTTGCTTCTGTTTATCTTAAAGCTAGCTAGGTGGGCAGCCAGCACCAGTGGCTGCAAAAATAAAGACTGACCGGCATGGTTGTCTGCCCACTATACCAAAACATCTCTGCACGGCTGCATGCACAGCTTGTTTTGATGTAGAAGCTGTCTAGCCAAATGACAAAAATGATGAAGAGGAGTGGAACTCCCTTCGTAGTCATCTCAAAACAGTGAGAGTTTAAAGGCAGCGGTTGAATCAGACGGCTTTAAAACACCTCCGAAAGTTTTTTCATCTTTTAACTGGCTTTTAATCTTCATTCACCATGAAAGCACTCTGACTGATGATGACAGCCTTTAGACTCTGGGAGGGAGGGAAATTATTTAGCCCTAGGCTGTTGCTACAATTTATTCTATTACAAGGCCATTCAGAAATGTAAACACAAATAGATAAGGCACAAATAAGTGATGCAAATAAACTATCTCTCTTTTGGCACCTTATTAACACCAGTATAACGGACATGGCTAATTGCTTCAGCAGTAGATTACATGTAAACACAGAGAAATTACATAGTCTGACACTGATTGATGTTTCTTATTGGTGAACATGACAGCTAGTTGGTTATGCTAATCCCTAAAATGGTAACATACAGCAACAGGCATATGCTGATGTTAGCCTGAGGTTATCTCAATACCTGTCAAGAAAGCTGGTGTATCGTGAAACTGACAAGGGAGGTCTGCTTTATAATGGATCTACTTCACCGATGTGATTCAAAGCTGATCCCACTGCCGCCTCAAATCTGATTCATTTTCGAAAACATGCAACATATGGAACTGATCATTCCATGGAAGTGTAGTAAAAGAGATGTGTTTTCTTTTTTTTTTATTACTTTCTGTGTGTCTGTAGCAGTCAGTTTTGAGGCTGCTACAAAAATATCTATGAAAATATGTGATGGAGATGAAAACAACAATCTGACTTGAACTAGCAGTGCAAACAAAGCCTTGGATAAAGGAGGTAGACTGGAGATGAAACATTCAGTAGAAATGTAGCAGTCTCAGGAGATGAAATGGTAGCCTGAGGGTGGATGGTGTAATACTAAGCCTGGCTGCATGCAGCCTGAACAAAACCTGCTGTTCAGTTAACCTTTAGGGAAATACTGTGCCCAACTTCACTGATTTCTGGTGCTTCACAGCTTGAGCTTATGGGGGGTCTAAAGCGAGTGAGTTTAGATCAGAGCACACGCACCTACTCAGGAACCGATGCCAATCAAACAGAGGGACACACACATACACACACACACACACACACAAACGTTGTTGCACATGAAACTTCCTTTCCTTCACTGATGAAACTGATTTCCATTGCACAACTACATCAGTCACACATGCATGCATGCACACACAAAGAAATCAAAGGGCCCACGAGCCGTTTATCAAAGATAAAACTCCCAACTGCTTCCTCCCCATGAATCTCGCCTTTCCCCAATCAAAAAGCTTTTTTTTTTTCTAAGTCTTTTGCTGTTCTGATTTCCACATGCATGGCTCTTACATTTGCATGATGGAATACTAATATCTCTGGCGACACAGAGATGCTCTGTCATTCCCCACATCATCTCTCACTGGTCTGAAACCCGTTGCCATATATACAGTGAGACAGCCATGCAGCTTGGATCCCAAGATCCTGACACTGTGCCCATTGTGACTGGCAGGCAAGCAGGCACTGGTCTTATACAGTGAGACACAATGTTGTTCAGTGGTCACTGGAGAGGACAATGGGCCTCTTAGTGCGAAGTGTGTGTGACTCAGTCAGATTGCTAACCGCAGACAGAGGCGACGGGTTGGCACGGGCCAGGCACAGTGCCTGCACAAACACATAGACATACAGAACGACCAAACAGACGCACACATACAGACCTGTGGCGCAGTTGGCCGTATAGACGCACAGAAGCTCCAGCACTGCCTCCATGGTGGGGTCGTCCAAAAGGAACCAAGGCCAAAGAGCATAGAGGGCCTGTGTTAGGCGAGCATCTGCGGCCACCACCTACACACACAAATCCAAATGGATATATACATTACACCCACACACAGACACATAACACATGTAGAGAAGGCATATACATACAGGCATGTATATGATTACAGATGCACAGCTGGTTAAAGTCATAACATACAACAGAAAACCCTGATTTACACAAGAGCACAAATGCAGATGGCAGTAATCAACATAAATGCCTCAATATTTTTTATAAGTGTACAAGAAAAACGTGGGGAGTAGAATAATGGCTTGGTGGGCACTGCAGTCGAGCCTCCCTGGTTATTTAGTCTGAGGTAACCACCAATGACTCAAAAGCCACTTAGAAAATGAAAACCAGCTAATATGCTTTGTAAGTAATGCCATTACAGGGTCTAAAAAGCTAAACTTGCTGAGATGTTAGCAGGGCCGTGCACATTTAGGCGGATCTCATTTACAGACACAGCATCGGTTCTCCGAGGTTCCATTAAAAAACAATTAGCAGTGGGGAATTAAAAGGCAGACACAGAGGCTCACTTTGCATTCATCGTTGCAGTAAAGAGCACTCCGTAGGATCTCCACAGTCAGCTTGACTTCCTTCAAATAGCCCTCTTCCTGATAATACAGAAAAACACAACACAAAGATCAATATGTTTAATTGTCCCCAAGTTAAAAACACCCTTTACTGCACATTTACTGCTCAAGAAGAGTAAGTCGATGTTCATAACATTTATCCAAAAACTCATTCATGTTGAATTCAGATTGTTATTCTACCCGATGGAAAAAACACTGGCAGCACAGAAAAGCTGAGACTGGAAATTTCCAGCCGGTCTCTGCTCACCTTTTTGCGGTGTGAAGCCTTGCCGGGTCGGACCGACTCCAGGTGGAGCTGGGAGTAAGTCTGCTTCATTTGCTCCACACAGCTGTCAATTAAACCGGCTGGAACACAACAAAGTCAGAGGTTCGGAGTAGGATGAAATGATACAGATTTAACTCAGTTAACAACTAATTATGTCAAGATTGAAAATAAAGATATGCACCATAATCGCATAAAAAAAGCTCTAATTTATGGTGGTAAACTAAGCAATTGGTTGAGAGATGCAATGAAGATAATAGTCATTTTCTAAACTAAATATGTAGCATTTTTGGAAGCTTCCAGGACAGGGTTTGCTAATTTTGGTTAACATAAAGAAACCACTAGGTGGGTCTTATGGGGAACCACGAAAGAAAACAAGCTGGTGACTCATTTTTAATTTAAAGGAGTAAAAGAAAAAGTAGTAAAAAAGAAAAATAGGTGACAGACTAATGCTTGCCTGAGGTTTTGGGATTTACCTTTGGCTGCATGGTTTTGAGCTGTGGGACTGCATGCTAGCAGTGTCGTCAGAGCTCGGGCTGTCAGCTTCTTTAAAGGATCCTGAAGGGTCCTCTTATCAAAACTCTGGCATCAACAGAGGGACACAGTGACCATTGCGCATAAGCGTGAACTATATACAGTAAATACCATTAAAGCTACTGTAACTTTGCCATGAACACATACATATTTGCACATAGAAAAGTAATCAAGTTTAGTTAATTCTAATTTCCACTGTGTACCAAGGTCTGGACAGATTATCACATGCCACCTCTGCGTACCTGCAGTAACAGTTCACACAGCTGGCTGGCTGAGGGACCATTCACAATGTCGGATAAAGCAGCTGCGTACTTAGAGTTCGGGGTTGTGGCCTCTACACCCCGACTCTTTGCTTCCTCTGTGAAGATTGTACAGAGAAACTGCAGAGCCACTGTGTGGAGAAGAGGGTCTGCAAACTTCTCAGTCACACACACTGATAAAGTTCCTGCAGACACAGAAGGGAAAATAAAAATAAAAAATAATAAGAAGACTAAATAACAAGAAGACAAAATGGCAAATACATTGTTTAAATCCCTTGACAGCTGGTTACTTGTCCATGACTGAGGCAGTATGCACTAGTGAAGAAAAACACAACTCATTTGAATGTGTATGCAGACACCCGAATATCATAAACATGTACACACAGACATAAATACATGGACAAAGGCTCAGCATTCATCTTTTACTGGACTCCTCGCATTTCTCCGCTCCACCATTAATCACAGAAGAAGATGAGTGGGAGGAGTGGAGGTGGTATAAGGACAGGATGCAATTATCTTATCCCAGCATCTGTTCAGGGAAGTTAATACACACAGTAATGATGCAACAAATGTGTTATTATGATATAATTTCTTTTGTTTGAACCAGAATTAAGGCTGCACAAAACCTAAAATGCTAATCCTGATGATTTAGTGAGTTGCTGCAATCAGCATAATTACCCTAATCATGATTATCAGCCTTTATGAATTGAGGGAGAAATGATTTTACAGCCCAATTTCATCATGTGTCAAGATCTTGACTCCTTAAGTGCAGTGGGTATTTTAAACTGAATGAAGCACCTAAACGTTACCAAAGTAAACAATAATCTGTTATTTCAAATTGTGAGAAGTAATCTATAATGTATGATTCAAATTAATTCAATGGTACAAATAATTAAATAAATAATGAATAATTAATTTTGTCACTTTTACTCATTCACACACACACACACACACACACACACACACACACACACACACACACAGAACTGAGTATCTGTGTACCTGCAAATGTCCGCCAGCGTCTCCCCAGCGCAGCGGAGACAGATGGGTACACTGCTGAGCTGTCCCTCCTCACCAGAGTAGCCAGGAGCATAAACGCGTCTGCCCAGCATGCACAAACCGTGTCCCGGGTACCTGCATCTGAAGAGGGGAAAGCATGAGTCACAAATTTTATGACACAAGACAGCCACAAAGTCACACACAGATCACTCTGTGGGGCACACTGCAGATAGAGTGGGATAAATGTCTACATTGGACTAGGGATAGGATTGTTGTGACATACAGGGTAGTGTGTATATATGTACATATATGGGACATGGTGAACATTTTGAAATGTTTTTGGGCTATTATTACCAACTTTATTTATTTAAATTTGAATTTAACATAAGATTCGGACCTAATCCTTTGATGTCCAGCATGAGCACTGCAACCAGCGTGGTCAACAGCTGTTTCAGGAAATCCAGTTTAGGAATCAGCTCCTGGCTCACTGTGACACATGACTGCAGCAGCTTAGAGAAGCTGGACAGGAACTGAAGTAGGGTGACAAGCTAGAAACACATACACACGGGCAGAAATTGTTACAGATTCACGAAACATACAATGCAGATTCACATGCACAGCTTTTATCGAGCGGGTAAGGATGGAGGAAAAGGTGAAAATTAATGCATAGCGAGAATGAGTAAAAGTTAATTTTCCTGGCTGGAACAGCAGTGGTATGAGCTTGTTGAGTATTCCACCCACACTGAAATCTGGAGGTACCCTCAGACAGCTTCACACTGCTGCACTGAAACTGACACTGAAACGTACCAGTCCATGTTTTTAGTGGCAAGTCATAATAACAAAAAAAAAAAAAGCTGTCTATCATTGTGTTCCTTACCTGGCTCTTGATGTTTTCTCTCTCTCCTGGTAGGACGTTGAGTGTCTTCAGTTCAGTCAGACATTTCTCAATGGGCCTGACATCCACCAGACTGAGGAAGAAAAGAAACATGATGGAAGAAGTGTGTGTTTGCAATTTTATAAACTAGAGCTGATTAAGGCTACAATTAACATGAATTCTCTGCTGAATAAAATATACACATATTTCATTATTATATATAAAAAAAAAAAATGACTAAAGTATGTTACCAGGGATCAAAGTATTGACTTTATGATCTCTTATTTACACTGAAGAAAACTCCTGCAAGCAGAACAAGTTTGATATGTCTACTGAACTAAAAGAGTTGAAGTGTTTGAAACACTGTGTGTTTGTTGTACAAGAAATCTTTTTGGTTTTATTATATTATGTTTATGTGCACTGAGCATGTGTCCTGTTACCTGGCCAGGGCTTGGAGGAGCCGGTTGTGTCGGATGGCAGTGAGGGTGAAATCTGACAGGATGGCCAGCAGATTAGTCAGCAGGCCACAGTGGGCCGTCAGAAGGTCGGGAGTTACCATGACAACGGGCTCCACGGCCGAGGGCTCGCCCTGTCGGGAGTCTTGGGAGGTAAGTGAGTCGCTGGTGTCTGTGTCACTCTGGCCTATGAGACACATCAATAGACAGCTAATAGAGAAGCCTTCCCGAAGGTACACACACTGTGTGAATCATGTCTCTGTCTGTGACTGGAGATACTCTGACCACATAATCAAAAACATCAAACTGAGGTAAAATATCGGAGAACAGCGCTCTACTTTTCAAATTGTGTATGTAAGATGGAAATATAAACACACAAACGTGGGGAATGGCTTTAGTTTATAATCATCGCCGACCACAATGAGGCTTCACTGCTTCTCAAGGAAAATGTGAAGGTTCATATGGTATGAAGTACTAAACCATGCAGTGTTACTATGACTGTGAATGCACGTGTGCACACACACGTACACACACTCTCTCTGTAGTACCTTGAGCCATCAGCCTGCTGGCAGGGGCGTCTTCCGAGATGCTCAACGAGGAGAGAGCCTTAGGGGTGTGTGGCCCTGAACCTCTCATCTGTAACGGAAAACATTAAGGTGTGAGGATCCACTTGACTTAAACTGAGCTGTTTATTTATTGGTGTTTATATCAGAAGGTACAAGAGCCTCGCTGACCACAGTGCTGGATGTAGACAGGGAGCTGGAGGGTCTGCTGGAGTTGATGGTGGGTGCTGGTGGGTCGCATCTCCAGAACCACAGAGAGTTCTCCGAATCTAGACAAGCAGATTCACACAATGACACCAAGACTAAAAGAGCACTTTATTTATGGGTAGAAAATAAAAGACAAATTTGGAGGAAAATTTCAACAATACAACTATTGATCACAAGTTTTCATATCCATATTATCAAAGCTATAACTGGTTTCTCTTTTTTGTATGTTGTATGTTAATTTAACATAGATACAAGAGGCACAGCCTACCCAGTGAATCACTCTCCTGAGGATCGGTGCCACTGCTGGCTCCAGCACGAGGCTGTAGGTGGAACATGTACCTGCCTCTGTAACAAATGGAGGCAGAGAGAGCCACATGCTGGAAGTATTGACAGTGGTAGAGCAGAGCCTGCAGCGCTGGAAGACCCACCAAAGAGACACCAGACACCTCATCATGGACACACGGGTGCTGGAAGAGGAGAGGGTGAATGTGGGAAAGTTGCACGCAGACATGAGAGCCCAGAAAATTGTTGTATCACTTCCACAGATTTTTTTTCACTAATAGGAACAGAGCAAAAGGAACAGACATGAGAAATAGGACTGAACACAGAGGGGTTAACCTTTTCTGCACTAGATCTATATTTGAAGTGAAATTTACTTTGTTAAGTTTAGTCATGGCAGTGATATGACTGGCATTTCACATCTACTGGATGACGATTTGTGTCCTAGTTTTTTTGTTGTTTTTTCTCCCCTAAAAGTCCCTGCATGGCAAACACCGAATCTAAGAGTTTTATTTTTTTTTCTCCTTCTATGTGGCCTGATTTGTGCTATGAATATCTCTCTTGATAAACATTTTTCTGGCACTTACAACTAGATCAGATTTTGTCAACAGCAAGCCTTGCTTTTAAAAGATAAGAAGATTTTATCACCTCTGACATACAGCTCCCTTTGCGAGTAATGACATCCCAAATTAAGATGCAGTTGGTGTTTGAAACTTAATTATTTTGGATGTGAGAACTGGAAACCTGCGCCCAAGTACTGCTTCAATTCTAGAAACAACCCCTGGTTTGAACCCTGCAGGGCTCAATAAGAGAGGAGTTAGGGATGGGAGGGAAGGGGGGGGGATAGAAACAGAAACAGAAGCAGAGAGAAAACAGTTCATGGTCTATAAAAGCTTTTTAACTGGCTGGCAGAGCTGCTGACCTGCCAGTGGGAGTCCTTGGCCTCCTCTGCGTTGGCAGGCATGGGCATCACCAGCAAGTTCTGCAGGATAAATGCAGCCTGGGTACACAAACCAAAGAAGGAGACGCACACACACTGGGTCAAGTTAGACTGCATCAGCAACACTGCCATCTGCCTGTGTTTGGCTGGTAATACATAAGAGGCCAACCACATTTTCTGACCATTGATTAAGTCAAAGTGAAATATGCCGTGCTTTCACTGTGTCTGATGGTTGTGTGAACGAGAGTTAAAACTGAAAAGTAATTTTAGGACAAAGCAGCAACAGTTTTGACAATTTGCTTTTGTCAATAATCTCTGCAAATATGAAAATTAACAGTCTAGTGCTCTCAATTTTGGCCCGGCATAAAAATGGGTTGTTCAGACAAGACAGAGAGCGCAGTTGCAGCTCTAACATCCTACCTCCCTGCGGACCATGCTGCTCTCCTGCTGATCCAGGAGAATGTTGAGCAATGTGCCCCACAGACCTCCGCTGATGTTCTGACAGCTAGCGCACAGAGCCTGGCACCCGCTGGGCACCGAGGACAGAGCTCCACCCAAACCCAAACTGGGCAAACTCACTGGGGGGGGGGGGGGGGGGCACAGATTGGAGTGGATGTTTGAGGGCAGAGAGAGAAACAGGAAGAGAAGGATATAGGACAATAACCTCAAAACAAGGTGGAAACTGCTAATGTTATGAGAAACCTATCTATAGCAATATTAAATGTGAATTTGGCTAGAAATTGGTATTCATAAGACTAGACAAGGATTTAAATTGATGATGGCAAAGACAGAGTCTACCTTGTCAAGGGAGTCTGTTAGACTGACTTATGTGGGAAGTTATTTTTGGAGACAGAGAATTTGGTATGACTAGCTGTCATGTGCTTCTTTTTGTCTGCGAGTTTTTGCGCAACTCTTTAGGGTTTCATCTTGTCCCAAAAGCCAAGCATCTAGAAACTTCATTTTATGAGAGAAGGAGTTTATACTGAATAAAAATCAGAAGATAGAGATTTTCTGCACCTCTTGATCTCGGTCCACCCATAGTGGGATGAGCCAAGCCAAACCGAGATGAGAGGCACTAGCTTCCTCGGCAGCTGCCTCATTTCCCAAAGACCACTGGGAAATGAAGTCCTGAGGCAGAACAAAAGGGAAGGGAAAAAACAAAGTGTTTGTGTTTAATTCTAAAACGTTTTAATATTGTCTAGTACTGTGCTCATTGTCTGCCGAAAGAGTAGACTCATAAGTACATAAAACTATCTACAGCACATAGTATGGTTGTGGTCGGTTCTGCACCAGCGTCCTCATAGCGCTGTAAGCAGTGACACTTGCCTTGTCCTTGTTTTTTTCGGCCAACATCTCATGGGACAGGTGAAGCAAGCAGATGACAGCATTCTTTGTCACACCTTTGCCCATGAAAGACATGGAGTTGCCTCCCCACTCAACATAAAATGAGGAGATCACCTGCACAAAGGACACAGATTATACTGGGAACAGTGAAATAAAGAGCAATGCAGTGTTATCATGTATTTCATTGTTTCCCATCCAGAATTTCTCATCCTATGAAAACATGGCTGGCAGAACTGCACGTTATTTAGATATGGTAAGTGGTTGTTATCACATGTTGCTCCCAGTTTCTGTCATTTGAACAACAAAGACAAAGTCAGTTGACTGAACAAAGAGCACTTGTTTCTCTGAGTTACTGAGTACTGTATACTTGTCATGCAACTCACTACATCCGAAAAGCTAAATACAACAGAGACTAATTATTTTTGCTTTGATGTGCCATCAGGATGTGGGACTGCACTGAAGAGCAGATGAGCCCAAGGCCTGCGGAGCTTTAGGGCCCTACAGTGCCAGGAGTCCTGGGTGAGAGGTGGGTCAGAGGGCTGAGAAGGCTGAGGTGAAAAAGTTAGATATCCGATTGTTATGAAGCAGCTACTGGAGATGTTGACTGAAAAGGAAATTAACCTTCCCTCTTCATCTAATAAAAGCTGCTCATTGTGTAAACAGAATAGTCTATTCCACTGGGAGCTTCAATCCCAAGAAAAAATAAAAGTTTGGACACCTCTGTGTTGAGGACTGCTGTGCAAGCTGGTCTAAACCGTGTTACACTATTGTTTTATGGACTGTTGAACAACTGAACAGATGGAATAGGCAAGGTTGATTAATCTCATCAGCATCTTCACAGTGTGGCATATCTAATCAATGAGATTTTTTTCCTATTGTGATTCATGTCCCATAACCATATTTTTCTTAATTTTAATTAATTCCTCAGAAAGTACTGTGCTTTTTGTTTTATTCATTTCTGTAGGGCAGTCTCATTTCTGATGAGACAGGCTTGCATATGCCCATGTAACACATGAACATATGCATAATACTGTGCAGACGCAGAGCTGAACACACATGCCATTCACGAGCACATGCTCACGCACAAGCACACACCTCTAATAGCCCGCTGAGATACTTGGAGCAGAGGGAGATCGGCTCCAGGTCAGGGCAGTGGGAGCTCCAGCCAGGCTGGGCAGTCAGGCTGACCATGCCCTGCAGTGTCCTCTCTAGGCTGGGAAGGCCATAGAAACGTGGGGCGTCAGACACCCGCAGGCTGCGAAGCAAACAGACTGCCAGCTGGCTCTTGAAGGGACCTGCTAATGCCAGACATAGCCTGGACAGACAGGAAAGGACAGAGAGAGAAAGAGAAAAATACAAGCACACCAGACAGACAGGAGACAAGACAAGAGGTGGAAAAAAAAAAGAGAAAAAGAGAATGTAGACAATTGGCATACCAATTCCTTATGATAAATGTGTGGCTTTTTATGTGTGTTGGCATTCATTGTCGTGTTCCAAATGAACAAGCTAGTAGCATTTCCATCACAAATTAACTGAAATAAGCACTTCCCCTCCAGTGGAAGAACTCCTCAGTCTCTTTTTTCCTCCGGATATTAATCAATTTACTAACCCCACAGGAAGGCTGAAAAGCATTACCTGAGAGTACATTCCAATACATTCTAATAAACGAACAGAGTAATAATTCATTTATTTCTCATGAAGAAGGAATTGACGTAGGAAATATTCTGGCATATTGCTGGAAGAAGAAGGGTCTTTGAAGGTCAGTTGTGCCTTGGCGGCCCTGAGCGACAGACAATGCAGAATTCAGTACTTTATATTTGATAAGCAAATAAAAAATAAATTCATACCCACTGTAGTATGATGATGTAAGAAGTGAGTTTATCACAGAACTTATGAACTTTCATTTGCAACTTTACAGCTGATATTTAAAGTGTAATAGAAGACGAAATGAAGGACCTTTTCAACTGCCCTCAGTTTGACTTTGTTGTGGAATCCTCTTACCTGTCAGCGGTGTGTGTGAGGCGGAGGAGTAAGGTTTTAAAGAAGCTGGTGAGTTCTCTCTGCAGTCTCTGGCTGATGTGGTTCTTCAGTTCCTCAGGTTCCCCTGGGCTCTGAGTGGAGGTCTGGGTCTCCACAACGAGCAGCAAATTAAGGAGGGACACAGTCTCCTGGATAATCGATAGATGAATGGATAATTGGTTTGTTCGTCGAGTTTATTTAATTATTTTGGATTACATCATTTTAAATGTGAGAGTACATATTTGCTTGCCTTTTTATAAACTTAATTTCACTTTGTTTTACATGCTTAGTTTCGAAAACTTATGAATGTGTTATCAGTTTTTGTTTTCCTTTTGTGCTTTGCGTTACTGCATACACGGAGGATACACATCTTCAGACAGGTTATTCAGTTTAGTGGATTAATAGTACAGAACCAAATGTTCTGGAATTATCTTCTTATCCAGTTCAAACAAACTGACCCATAGAGGGAAGATGTGGAGGAGGCTGACAGGTGTATTCCTTCTCTCCCTTCAAAACTCAGATGCAGAATTTCTTACTGAGCAGCGCACACTGAGCAGATAGTTAATGCAAGTGTAGGGAGCGACAGATGTTCCTGAAACAGCTCAGTAATTACAGGAAAGTTGGAGCAGAGCAGAGCTGCTCACCCCTACCAGGCATTCAATCTGAGTCTGCTTTAGCTGCCAGGGGAGGGCTTATTGTTTACACACACATTAATGAGAAAGCCAAGGTGAGACTGATTAAATCCTAAAAGCAGCTCTCCTCACTAAAACAGTGTGGTGATTCTTCTCCTCGGGCAAAAGTATGAATCCAACTTTGTTTTAAGAGCTCAGGAAATAATCTCTGCCGCAGGTCTGAGGTGGAACGCTGTGATACTGCTTTTCTGTTGTTATGAGAGAGTAATATGTTTGGCTTGTCTGACGGTGTGTGATCTATTAAAGCTTTGATTACAGGTATATAACCCTCTGTGTTGGAGAGGACAGTGTCTAACCAGATTACTAGCGAACAGAGATGCTCACACATATATTGTACAGGCACAATACACACACCAAAGGTAAGGTACAGCAGTACGTATGAATAAGATAAAATAATATGTATTGATAGGGGGCTGCTGGCTACCTGGGAAATCTCCAACCGCAGGATTCAATGTAATGCCAGTGTCGCAAAAAACTCAAATATCCCTTTAAACCTAAACCTTAAAAGGAAATACGGTACTTCTCTGGTAAGGTTTTACTTTCAGACTTGACCAGAGAGTGTAAATTGCCTGTACCTGGTTGAGAAGCAGCTCCAGTATCCAGCGCAGGTCCTTGTCCTCTGGGCCAGATGCAGACTCAGTGTGCATCTGTCTGAAGTAGGCATTCAAAAATGCAACAATGCCCACCAGCAACCTCTCATCCTCGACACAGGCTGGACGCACCTGGAGAAACCTGAAGAGAGGAAGAGACACAGACCGTGTCAACAAGAGGGAGAGAAAGTGGTTAAAAGGAAGATACTGGATAATAACATGTTCTGAAGTACATAGAAAAAGAAGCTGAGGTTTTATCCACCAATCTTTTCCCCATTTTTCGTCTTTGTTTTCTTTCTTATTCCGTTGGAAAACATCATTGCACAGTGGAAATCTTAAATGGACATACCACTGACATGTATACAATATACGCCATTAGATAGGAAAAACCTAGTCTCTGGAAGGTGGTGGTGATAAACTGATGAAATCAAATAATTAACATACTTGAAAACACTTTCATTAAAGGCTTGCTCTTTTTTTCTTCATTATTACATAAGAAATGAGTTAAATCATTTCAATTTTTACGTTAAGCTTTAGGATTAGAGCTGTTTGAGGAAGAAAGATGATAATTGTAATACTTTAATAAAGAACAAATGTATTATTTATTGTTTGATGGTAAAAAAAAAAAAAAAAAACAATCATGGTAACACCAAGCAAAACTAAAGAAAAGAACTAAAGAAATGTACACATCAATCAAGGGTCCAAATTTAAATAATAATAAAGTATCATACTCCCTCAAGGAAGCTTTAATAGTCATTCCAGGCCATGGTAAACAGAAAAGGCATTTAATGCCATTAATACATGTCAATTTTTCAAAATGAGGCAAAAGACAAAGCCATACTGTGCTCACTGAGCAATGGAAAACATTTGGTTCACAGCAAGTACTGTTTAGATCTACAGCAGCAGTGATAATAATAGCAGCCATAAAACCCTTCCATTATTTTCTTAATTCATAAATCTTAACAAGACATATTTACTGACTTGGTTATTAGTGTGTGAAACTACAGCACATGAACCTTTAGATTTGTATGCAAAGTACCTGGTGATTGCTGCCTGCCAACTGAGGGAGTGAAGGGTGCCTCTGCAGCTGTGGGTGGGGATGTGAGGTAGGGCCAATCTGTCAATCAGCAAGTAGAGGCTGAGCCTGGAGAGGGCAGAGGTCACAGAACTGTGTCCTGCCGCTGTGGCGATGGCCTGGATGCAGTCCTGCAGCGCAGCGGGAATGTGCATCGCTTTCAGCGACAGAACCTGTGCTTCTGTCAGTTTCAAGTCAGGATGAAAACTGTAAGGAACAAAATGTAAATGGTTTAAAAAAAATATATTCAAAAATCAGATTACATGACTATTGATGTGCTGACAAGTATGTTGCATAAGCAGCAACCTCAGTAGCATACTAATGACTGCATTAACAAACATATTTGATCATCAATCTGGAGGGATGAGACATTTATGAGTCATCCATAGAGAGATGTTTTCTGAGAATCACTTGCAACTGAAACCAAGCAGAGGCAGCAGTGATCATACCAGCTAAAATCAAGAGGCAGTTCTCAAGAAACTGTCAAAACTATGTCAAAAAAATAAGAAAAAAAAAAAAGATCCTGTGCTTTCTTGAACTTTATAATAAGACACAACAATAACATCAAAGGTAAACTTGAGCACAGAGCTGTACTTTAGACAGAATAGCAAATCCACCTCTCAATTTTCAATGACATCCTAAATATATGCTTTACTCCGAATGACAAAACTGTACAAAATCCAGTTTTGGACAGATTGATCCATCTATGGTGTGCTTTAAACGCCTTTGCTGTAATCAAGCTGGATGAAACCGTGTGAGAGACATTCTCATCTGTTTGAATTAGGTCACATTAGAAGTAAATGAAGACAGATGAAACACAAGATTACCAAGCCTTCTGAAACCAATTCTTCCTTACAGTTGTCCATAAGAGAGAACAATGTGTTAATGTGATATGTAGCAGGCTCTTTCTTTAAATCCTCATATGGAAATGTTGATCTGGTCAGTTCCTCTAAAATCCAACATCTTGTGCCTCAAACAAACAAAAAATATAGAAGAGTCATCTAAACACAGGGCAGGAAATCTTGGGAAAGATTTATTCTCAACAGATAAATGAATATACTGCAAAGTAACAAATAAGCACTATAGCTCATATGCTGCTATTTATGCTTCATATGCTGCTATTTTGTAAGTTTTTGTAAATATCTATTGTATATATTTATTATCTGTTATTGATCTTTCTAAAATTTCTCTCTTACTGGCAATTTGAAGTTTTTCTTATCTTGTATAAGGAAAATCTTATTCGTATTATTAGTACTAGTATTAAAGTATCATATACAGGGACATCAGTCTGCCTTGGTCTCCGATCTATTTTCTGTCGTAGCTGCTACACAACAACACAAAATTACACTCTCCGGTCATGAAAGTAAGAAACATCAAAGCTCTTACTCAGGAACCCCGGCAGAGGTGTCATGCAGCTCCTCAAGGAGGTTATCAATCCCAGAATGCCACGCAGTGTTCCAGGCTACCTGTAGAGCTTGGCGGGCAGGGGCCAGGGTCAGGAGGCCAGAGGATGAAGGCAAGACGCAGCAGTACGGGCTGACAGCGTGATGACTTGCTGCCTGGAATGGGATGTTATACCTGGGAGAAAATTAAGGAGAGGAATAAAATGTTGTGAATATTGATTGTAAGGTGCTGTTGACGAGGGGAAGGGAGCCCTGACACAACTGTAAAGGTTGCCCCTCACAACTTAATGGCTCACCTTACCTGCGTATTATTGTCAGCGGTAGGGAGAACGGTGCGAGAGTCACATCTGCCCTGGATTTGTCCGACCTAATGTAACAGGCAAGAATCTAGTAAAACAAACTGCTGCATGGACGTACACATTGTTATTAGAAGCGTGGAGAAAGCCTGCACAGAGGAGAAGAAACTCACCATATTTCAATGCTAGCAATCTCATCAAGTAGCAGTAAACTCATCAGGACAGCAATCTCATTTCCACTGCTTTTGTTCTCCTTCAATATCAAGGAGGCTAAAATGGAGACACAACATAAGCAATAAACATAATAACCACACCCTAAACTTTATCTCTCTACTTCATGAACACATTTATAAGAATTTCATATTTGAAATTTCATTAGAGACACAAACACTTTTGGGAATCCCCACTCCCCCCCCCACTACTGGCTTTGCGTATGTTATGATATCATGATGACTCTCAAATGAAGCGCCTGAAGTTTTAATACAAGTGAGAGCTTCAAAATGAGCTGTGCAAACATTACTTTTGTAATGTATAAAAACCTGGCAGTCCAAAAGTTTCCCATTGACTTGAATGGGAAAGTGATCTCAGACTTTTAGAACGCTCCAAAAACTATAAAGGTAGTCACAATCAAAACAAGATTTTGTAATTTCAATGTAATGCCTTCTGATTTAAATTGAGGGGCTTACAAGCTGCAGTATTGCAAATAAATGAGCTCCATAGCTACCAGTTGCATCATACTAATCTGCCACTTACTACAGTGTGACAACATGGTTAAAAGCTATGCATCAATGGATGCCTTGTCATCTTTTTTTGAGAATGTGCCCTGGAGCTACACAACACAACGTGTGGAGCTGTTACTTAATGAGCTGTCTTGTGAATGTACCCCTGAGCAATGTGAGGAGCAGGAGGTTGCGTTGTGCCAGGCTGTGCCTCAGAGATGGATCAGCATACACCAGCTTCCTCAGGATACATATACAAGGCTCCAGCAGGCAATCCATGCTCTGGGGAGAACAGCAACATACGCACTCGGTGTTTAATTGCAGGGAAAACATAAACAAACACACACTTTTTCTTTCCGTCTCCTCCTGCTCCGTCTCACACATACAAATGCGCGGGATCTCTTTACTGTCACTTCACATAAGCTAAATCCGAATTTAGTGACTGTGCAGGTTGGCGGCAATGGAGGGTCGGGACAAACACAACCTGCAGGCATCCCTCTTATACACCCTTGTTAGCTGAGACAAGTCATTCTCTGTGGCCCTGTTCCTCCACCTCCATGTAGCCATACATGCTGGACAATTACCCCTGTTAGCAGCGTCTGATTCAAGGCCTGGAAATGATCAGCAGACTGCAGAAACTAGAGGGCAAAAATCCCTGCTGACCAGGGCCTGTCTGACACTATTAATACAGGCCATTTCATCCCTCTATCATGCACGCCTCAGTGGTTTTCCTGCACATCTTCTGGCAGCACATGTACTTACATGAGCACATATAAGAGATGAGATACAGGGCTTGTTTTATGCAGTTTAACAGCAATTATTTATTTAATTATTTATCACTTTGCCAAGCATTTATTTATTTATTTATTCAATAATTTATTTATTCATTACCTTGTTGCCGTAGACACTCGCCATTATGAAAGAAATGACTTTGTCTGTTATTCCAAGATTCTTCAGCACTGGGTGCATCGTTGTGTCTGCAGGGAAGTAAGATAACAATTCAACTAACGATAACATATATAATATAATAATAATAATAATAATAATAATAATAATAATAATAATCTTCAACAATTTGCTTTTACTGCTTTTCTACAACATATGGTGGTGTCACTTATGCATCACAAAAACTTTTTTGTTGCTGTTTTTAATTTTATCAGGTGCATAAAATTGAATCTAGAACACTGATCAGGCATTTTATTTAGTTTTATGTGGTCGACAATTCAATTCAGACATTATACTTCCTTATGGAATATCGAGCTCAATATCATTCTCAATTCAAGTGTTATAGGGATGTGACTTCTTAGCAACTGCACTCTGGCGCACTGCTTGTACACTTTGCAGTGATACAGATTTGCAGGTACAACTATGAAAAATACAGAGGATGCTTAGTGGGATCAAAAGCACAGAAGTTGGAAGGAGTTGCAAAGTGCAACCAGTCACTAGTTGAAATTCTTTTATCTCTTACAGGTAACTCACCTTGCAGCACCACAGACAGCTGTTCTGAAGCTGATCTTCTCAGAGAGATGTCAACAGTGTCTGAGGAGAGGATACAAAAGAGTTTCTCCACAGACTCCACCTGGAGAACATTAAACACACGTTAAGTGAGCATTTATTTCTGTCTATATAACAAGTGTATGCGAGTGCATTCGTCTTACTCTGTGTTTAAATTTATACCTTAAGGACAGATTTGTTGCTTGTATCCAGTGAGATGTCTAATGGGTTTCGGAGACAGTAGAGATCGGGCAGTGCGGAGGTCACCGTCTGATCCATGTCTGGTCTGGCTGTTTGAGCGTCATCAGCGCTGGTTAGGTGTGGAAGGATTTGTTGCACTGCTGCTATTCTCACACTGTTTGGAGTTGAGAATTTCATTGAAAATCACAATGATTTAAAAACAGCATAAAACCACAATTTTAGGTGATAAACCAGTGTTTTATCTTCATCAGAGCACTGATACACAGTTGCAAGTGTTACCAGCCTTTCATGTTTTTTTTTTAATACAGCATCCAAATGACAATTAGTTGTCAAAAAAGTGGCTGGCAGGGCAGACAAATCTATTAGCTGTTGCCAAAATTTTCGAAAGGCTTGTCTCCTGGCCAGTGTCTGGTGTTAATTTCTATCTCCATCAATATTCATAGACTGGGACTGAATCGCTGTTTTACACAGGCCTCACAGAGCATTTAGATGACTTGATGAGCACATCGCCTGACAGTAACAGACAGCGGTAATATGTCCATCCCAAGTGTTTGTAAAGCAAAATATTCAGACACACACAATGACTTCACTCAGAAGAAACATACCATCACAGACACATATTATTATGCGCACACATCCAGGCAGGCACCGAACACCTAAACAAACACAGAGACACATAAATACAAACAATGACAAAAGGAAGACCCAGAGGCCTGACTCACGCGGGCTGTTTAGTGAAAAGGAGTCGGAGCGCTGCTTTTAGCTTGACTGTACTTGGAAACGTCTTGTCTCTTGCCACGTCCGACATGTCACTTATCAGCAGGACACAGTTTCCAAGTGACTCTTCGGTGCCTGCGTAACCCTGCCACAAATACAAACACACACACACACACACACACACGGATACACACAATTCTCAGACTGCCTTGGCAGACAATGGAGCTAACAATGGGGAATTCCAGCTAAGCAGCACAACAGTAAATAAAATATGCATCGCTTTGATTACGGGTGGTTTCATTTCGTCTCTTGTTGACATGGCGGGCCCATCTCTGAATGGCCTCCTTGAATTAAATCACACTTGACAGCCTAGTCAAAATCTCATGTATATTCATGAAGAATTTCCAGGCTTTCTGTTGCCTGAAACTGAACAATTAATAAAAGCTTGTTTTTTTTTTTTTTCCACCCAAAAAGGAAACAATATAACACAGAATATGTAAATGAGAGAATAACTAAATTTTTTCTCACTGGCAGCTCAATATGCAGGCTTTGTGGCCCAAGAGTGCTAAAATTGCACTTTTGATCATAGCTGTTTTGATTGTGGAGAACATAAACCACTCCACCCCCACCCCGCTCCATAAATATAATGGAATAAGTTCCAAACATGAAGCTGCTTTATGAGCTCTGTAGTACAAATACAACGCAGCCTCCGCAGAGAGCACAACACCTGTAATATGGGCATGACCGGGTAAAGTGCCTCATTGAATCTGTCCCAGGTTGATGCTGTCATCATCAATCGTCCCTTGAGCAGGAATAGCAGGATATCCTTGGCAGCAACATTCACCTATAGATCACAAGTAAACTGCTGATTTTACAAAGGCACTGCTGATGAAACATTTACTAGGAGGTACTGTAAATGACAGACTTTTAAACATCTAAATTACATGACACCAGCAAGTCCTGATATTTTAGCATGACCTTAAAGTAATGTACAATAACATTACTTTAAATCTAAATCCACATACAACACACAATAATCCCAGCGCTTTTACTCTCATGAGTACCTGTATTTGACTGGATTTATTCCTTTAAACCCTGACACAGAAGCAGCCAAAATGACCTCACTCCAAAGTGCCAAATAGGTTCTAATTTACAAGTACAAGTGCCAAGAACACCTACCTTTTCTGCAGAGTCCTGGAGTCCGAAAGCGCTTATTTCATAGAGCACCCTGTGGTGGAGAAGGAAGTTGACTCCACCACAGGCTCCTGGTTCCTGACGTGACACATACTGGATGCCAAGGCAGTCCTAGGGGTGTATGTAATCACACCAAAGCACATCATGAAGTGTCGCTATCCTCTCACTTGTGCATGCATACGAGAGCTCCAATTCACTTTAAATGTAGCCATGCACTCTAGACAGTGCTTGGTAAAATGAAAAGGAAGACCGATTTCAAATGTCAAGTGGTATTTTTATAGAGCACTGTCAAAGAGCTGTGATTCATCCATCTTAATCCAACTTATTTACATATGGGTGGCCCTCCCAACAGACCCACATTATTGCTCTGGTACATTATTTATTGCTCTGTACACTTATTTAAACTCTGCCTGTCTATATAAGATGGCTTTCTCTGACCTTGACCAGGCTTAGAGCGCATGTGTATGTTTCCGTCTTGACAGGCAGTAAGGGATGAGACAGCAGCTTGAGGAGAAGTCTCTGACTCTCTGTTTGGAGGAGCGGACTGGGCTCATCAAACTTCCACCTAATGATGGACGAACAAAAGAGTGTAGCATAAAATATTTAATATCTAAAAACAGAATAAGAAGTGACCGACTTTACAACGCAAGAAACTATGATTTTTACAGCATCTTACAGGTAAGAGCAGATGTGAACACATTCCTTGACGATGGGTAAGTGCTGGTGAAACGGGAGTCCGTCTATGGCTTGGTCTGCCAGCTCCAGTAACTCCAACCAGTTCTTTTCTCCCTTGATGAAGAAATAAATCAAGGAATGTAATATATAATGCATATATGAATCACAGGCCAAACAGGTTTCACTACAACCTGACTTATATTTATGTTATGTGTGTTTTTTTTTGTTTTTTTTTTACTTAAAGAAGTGAATGTTGTATGTCTATAAAAGATAGCTCATACCTCAGCTTGTGCTTCTTTGAGAAAGCTGCAAGCGGACTCCATCCAGAGGGCAGCACGGGTCACCTGCCTGTAGAGGTCATGGCTATCAGAGTTCACCTGCTCCAAGTAGGCGACTGCTGTCTCTTGCATGCTGGGTAATAAAGTTCCCAATGAAGTGTCCAAGCATAGGTGGAACATAGCTGTTGCAGTGCTTTCTGGGAGATTGTCACAAGCCTGTGTGAGAAAAAGGACTCTGATTTTTATGAAGTCACACAAAGTAATAACAGATTTGGTCAAAAACACACACACACACACACACACCTTCTCAGGAGGGAGGACAGTCTGCAGGAGTTTGATGGTGAATATGGCAGTGCCTGTGTAGGCCATTCTGTGGTGAACCTGAGAACTGTGGGTAACGTCTGCTGCGTAGCTCTGATGGTAGCTCAGGATATCCCCCAATAGTTCCAAGAAGGCTTGCAGCTTCTCCTTCTATAAACACACACAGACAGAAATGTAACCAAAAGAACACATACCAATCAAACACGCCAACACACACACACACACACACACACACGTGCTCACATCACGTGCATGTTCACATTCATAGACACACACTGACGCACAGCCACTGGCTGGGAGCCAAGAGAAAAATTGTTCGTTCCAGGGGTTAGGAATTGAATGTAATCAGATTTCAGGGTTATTTTGGGACGAGATACAGATCCACCCTATCTCAGTATGAATAAATTGGGACAATCTATTCTCAGCCACTTTGTTCTGGGAGCAGAAATTGAACAATAGAAGATAAATACCAGGAGGGGGCAGTAGATGCCCTGTGCATTGCTGTGGCTGGCATAAACAGTTCTGCCCATTCCCATAGGAAAAACCTAGAGGTCTGGCACGGAAAAGCTGCTCTCCACATAAAGATGACAAAACAGTTCTCAGGCTGCAAGGCTCTGGGCATGTATTAAACAGCAGAGGGCCAGAGGGGCCTGGGCTTGACAAGTGTATAAGTCCCCCTGCAGAGGAACATACTCTTTAAACAGTCAGGGAGGATAACAAATGATTCTGCATGGTAAAAAAACACACACAGAAGTTTAACACAATCCATTGTGTGGACTTCATACACATAATAAATGAAGACATTTACTAACCCAACAATTTTGTGCTTAGATAAACCCATGGGTACCAACGAGAAGTATATGTGAGAGGCTCTTTGTAACCAGCAGAAAGCCTTTGTAACCTTATATAATTCATTCAGCTCAATCACATGCCTTCAGTTCTCCTTGACAGTTGAGTACGGTATGCCTGTGTGTCTGTAGCAAATTGTCTGGTGGCCAACCCAGTTCCCCTTTTCAGTGTAGTGTATCCATTCATCTACATAAGAGGCTGTCATGAGCTGTGTTTTGACTTGCCAGCTCCATCCCCACCAGGCTGCGATCGTCCCAGACCAGCTCACAAACACTGTCCCCAAGCAGGAGGACGGCGTCGCAAAGCAGCTCCAGAACACGGTGGAACACATGCGAACCCTCTGAGAAACGAGAGAGAAAGAGAACAAGAGCAGGGGAAGAGAATTTGTTTGACAAGAGCTGGTAGTATACCATCATGTATGGAAACAGGTGAGGGAGTATTTGCAGTATTTCAAACAAAAAAAAAAAAAAAAAAAAGGAGGAGAAAGAGAGTGATCACTGATTTATATATTTTAGAAAAATATTTTCTCCCTCCCCACCTTTATTTTAAAAAATACTACAAAAGGTTCTTACCTGTCTTAAGAAGTGGTATAGCATGCTCCATGATGGCAACAGTGAACTGGGCCAAAGTGAGCTGCTGTAACTGCAGCTCCAGGACATCTTCAACTCCCAGGTCAGGAAGCTCCAAATGGGCCACATCTGCAGGTGACTGAGGCGTCTGCCTGGGGGCTTGGACTGCTGCTCCACCTCTGTGCGAGCTGCCACTGCATGAATCACAGACAAGAGAGGCAGACAACTGTAAATTCATGATCTGTGCTTGGACCACTCAAATACAAGGAATGACGTATGAGCTGTATAGGGATGGATCATAAAAACTGAATATGCCATCACGGGAATCAGAAGTGATTTTTCAACACTACTGACTAGCCGCTAGAGGGCTCCTGGTGTTATTCATATTTATGAAGAAGAATAAAATCCCCCCAGTCTTCCTCACATAGTTTTATCTTCTTGTGTGGGTTCCTGGTGTCAATAGCAATTTTGTCATTATCAAAGCCACAAAAAATCCTACTGTGCACAAATCTCCAAAAAAAAAACACCCCCCTTAAGGTCTGCTGAACAGAATAGACTACAATGACGAATTATATCAAAAAGTTATTTGTACAAGCAAGGGAGACATACAGTTCTGACACAATACGACTAATGCCTCAGAGGTGAGACAGAAGCCAAACTGAGTGAATCTCTGCCCTCACTCAACATGATTACTCAAGACATGCAGAGAAAGTGATGCAGTTTTTTTTCTTTTTCGGAGTTGCTCATACGGACACACCTGTCGGAAGCTGCATCTCCATCTTGGCCATCGCCGCGTGCTCTCTGACCAGTGCGTCCCACTACAGAGGGCCGGGGAGAGCACTCTCCCCCCGGGGAGGAGGCCTGGGAACGCTGGGTTCCCCGCACATCCTGGGAGTGGGAGAAGGAGGAGTTCTGGGACACTGGATCTGACGGCCACAAAAAGAACAAAAAGCACATAGTTGTATGATAAAGCAGAGAGAAGATTAAATAAGGTCATGTTAAAATTTCCCCCTTATGAGAAATTAGTCAGTACTGAATAGCAATAATATAAAATCAACTTTAATTTCTTACAACTATTTGAATTAGAAGAAAAATATAGCTAGGAAATGTATTAACTCTATATAATATATATAACGTTTCTTTAGAGGTTTATACTTGAAAAATGTAAAACACTTGAAAATGAAAGTGCAACTTGGTGATTGTAACTTTACAAGAATATACAGTATGTACACAAACAGGATAAACAAACAAAAATAACTACTGAAACCCATTGCTATCGGCAATAGAAAAAAAAAAATCTGTACATCTGCCTAACTCATGAAGCATGCTACCTTGCTTTGTAGAGTAGAAGCTTGGATCTTGATAAAAGCGCAGTCTCCTCCGTAGCCCTGCACAAAGCTGCCGCAGGCACGAAAGAGCCTGCAAGTGGAGGTAGCTTGCCTCACCTTTACCTGAACCCACCCTTAATAGGGACAGAAGGCTCTGAAAGCAGAAGAGGATATCAGAGGTGTTATATTACTGAGAATGAGGGAAATGGAAAAGTTTTAAATGGAAATTAACAACCAGTAATCATTGGGCAAATATATTGGCTTATTTACGTAGAGAAAAAACAGAGCACGAACTGAAACAAACAATGTACAAAATCTGTGTGTAAACAGTACCGAAACCTCAGACAGTGATAGAAAAGTTGTAATAAAGTTCACTAAATAAAAAGGGCAAGTGGAATTGAATTATTGAAACGGCAATTTGTTCCAAGTTCAGATTTCCTACCCTCTGTAGCTAATGATGTCTTGTCTCTAAATCCAAGTCTTTTAATTTAGCTTAATAGCTCTAGTAACTCAAAGGAGGGGCAAGTAAAGCCACAAGAAGAAAAGTACTTTCCCATAATGATTTGTTTTTGATGATGAGACTGCTGGGTGACAGTATGCTAATACTGCCCTGAGACCAATGTAATGTAATGCACCACTTTATTAACAGTTGTAATGTTCCTGGTGGCTCATGGGGCAAAATAATGTCTCCTCCAACACTCTTTCTATGCCAACGAAATGAAGACTCCGACAACAGACGCACTTTGTTTGCCGACATGATACTGGTAAATACATCAGAAAGAGCGCACCGCGTTTTACACAGATGGAGAGAGAGTGTATCAGAGTTCAGTTACAGGACACACCAACTTGACACTTCACATTTGCGATATAAGACATTTGAGATTCCTCCAAAGCCAACAAGACCACGATGAGGACAGTTCAAACGCCTCCATTTTTTTTTTTTTTTTTTTTTTTTTTACAGAATCTGATACTTCTCCACCAAGGACTTTCACACCATGCAAGAGGTATATCAGGATCAAACTACCCTCACAGCAATCTAGTGCCTGCTCAAGCAGAGTAAGTCCCCAGAGGCCTCCACAACCTCCTACAAGATCAGGGACACAGAATTATAAATTGGTGTTTTGTTCAAGGGCACTATTTGACAGGATATTATGTTGACAATGGCTAGAGTGACCATCTCATAAATCCATTATGAGGTGTTCACACTAGTCCCTCAAAACAATACACTTCATCTAATTGATGTGAATAAAAAAAGAATATAAAGTATTATGAACAACAGTTGGGATAGTAGAAAACCAAAATCTTCAATGACAGCTTTAATTTTGTCTCTTTGGACATCCATACTGAATGAGAGATTTTCGGGCAGCATTGTTAAGTTTAGAGTTTAGGTGGTGGAGATTTTCCATCAAATGAAGGGATTTGTCTTGAACATGGACACTGCACCTGAGAGTTGCCAGAATTTAGACTGACAAATATAGTAGAGCCTTTAAAATTTAAAATGACAGCAGTGAGAGCGATTCTAATGCGTTGCAACAAGTTAATGAAATGATTAAAAACTCAACTCCAGTTTTTAATGACATACACTCACGAGCACTTTATTAAGAATGACATAATAATACTGGGTAGGGCTTCCCTTTGCTCTAAAAACAGCCTCAATTCTTTGTGATGTGAACTCCACAAAGGTTGGAAACATTTCTTTGAGATTCTGGTCCATGTTGATATGATTGCATCACTAACCCTGCTCCCGCTGCAGCCTCACATTTCTGTTCTTGGCTGACAGGAGTGGAACCTGACGTGGTCTTCGGCTGTTGTAGCTCATCCACCTCAAGGTTCGATGTGTGCTGCATTCTAAGATTGCTTTTTTTGCTCACCGCAATTGTAAAGAGTGGTTACCTGAAGTATGGTAACCTTTACGTCAACTAAAACCAGTATGGCCGTTTTCCTTTCTCTCCTCGACGAGGTGTTTCCATCTGCTGAACTCCCGCTAACTGGATGTTTTTTGGTTTTCGCACCATTCTGAGTAAAAACCCCAGAGACTTTTGTGTGAGAAAATCCCAGGAGATCAGCAGTTTCAGAGACAGTCAAACCTGCCCATATGGTACCAACTATCATGCCACAATCAAAGTCACTGAGATCACATCACAGTTTTTTTTCCCCAATTCTGATGTTTGATGCGAACATTAATTGAAGCTCCTGACTTGTATCCGCCTGATTTTATACACTGCACTGCTGCTATATGATTTGCTGATTGGATGATTACATGAATAAACAGGTGTAGAATTTCCTAATAGAGTGCTCTGTGAGCGTATCTGAAATCAGTGTAACATTAGAGTCGACGCTAAGAAAACCCACTTTAACTTGAAGGTGATATAAATAGCAATCATTCAGACATGACCTGTTATAGCATGGGATCAAACCTGTGACTGTTAATGAAGGGAAGTGCAACCATTGCAGCGCAGTATCTGTCTGGTAGTGCTTTAGGTTTGTTCTTTTCATTCATATTTTTCATATTATTCATGTTTTAACCAAGATGATGGTAATGTTGCGATGGTACCTTTGCAATACTTGGCCTCTGCAGGAAGATCTCAGCAGGAAAGTCTTGCATAATGACATCACACAGAAGATCACATGTGGTCCGCACCAGGTTTGAGTTGTTGCTCCTCAGAGAACTGTTTCAAAATAATTAAAGCAGATATATTCAATATTCAGTCATTTAACAAGACTGCAGACTTGTGAAGTTGATTAATGAAATCATTATTTTGTTAATTTTACACTGCATTTTAATTAGGCACATATTAGAATATTAGTTATAGACATGTACTATCTCTCACCTCTCATTTGATGAAAGTATGTGTCTGTCTGTGTTTGTCAAAGTCAGCCAAGGAAACACGGAAAACCTCAGACATCTCACAGACTCATGCACTGTAAAACAAAATGATTTACAGACACTTTACTTTGGGACAAAAATAAGAAGCAAATTTCAAGATGAAACCAAGCACATTACAAAATTTTGGGATTATATTTTCAAAATACTGCTACCTGCTATCTTGTGAGGTGGTACATCTGTATGGGCTGGCAAACTCTTGTGGAAATAGCCCATTTTAGGAAAATCCTCTTCAGGTAGAAATACTGTAGGGGCTAAAGCAGAGACACCTGATTTGTTAAAATAACATTTCACAAATGTTTGATGAAACGTGTGCCAAGTAAAATTACAATCTGTATCATCCTCACCCACATAACATTATGAGCATTTAGTAATTTGTAGATGACAGACTCTAAACACAAACATGTTTTTGGCTGAACATGCAACACCTGTTGGAGCTGTATTACGCGGTCCAAGTGAGTAAACTACTGTTTTACTGGGGAGTAGATCAGGTAGCTGGAACAGCTGGTCCAGGGTTCCACTGATGACAGCTCGCAGTCTGGGCTCCACATTAGGAGACAGTTGGGTGAGGAAGTCCACCGCCCCAACGTCTCTTAGCATCTGGGCTGCACTTGGATGCTTGGAAGACATAATGACAAAGCAAATAGTCATGAAATGGAAAATATAGTGTTCAGTGTAATGTTAGATGGAGCACAATAATAGCACTTTGCATGTGTATTGGCATCAAAATGTCACTGGGCAGACATCACTGTGTCATCATTACGTCATTATGCCCCTGTTAGTATTTCTTGCAAGGTAAATTATGATTGTGGTTTGAGCAGAGTCAAAAGTGGCATAAAACCTGCTATAGATTGGAAAAGGCAAAGAATAATCCTCTTTTGATTGACCTAAGTCTGGTTAGCTTTGTTACAGATATAGGCTCAAACCAAGACCAAATATATTGTACAGTTTATCAGTCTACTTTCCTCTGCTACACATTCATAGGATCAGCTGCTGAATAGATCTAGAACTGTTCCCCTGAGGCCACTGTCCTTTCAGAATTATCTTCTTGTAAGACATTTACTTATTTACCTTTGATAAAGTTGTGAGCAACTCAAGGACCTCCTCCTGCATTGGCACCTCGGGGAAATTAAACCACTCCAGAAGATACACAAACAGCATCTTTTCTTGGACAATGTCAGAGACGGAAATCAGGGAATGGTCCAGCTTACATATGATGCTCTTCAATGCTCGCACTCTTATCTCCACCAAAGAGTGGCCTAAGGTTTGTAGAAAACAAAGTGGTAAGTTGTGAGGAAACATTGTTGCAGAATTGCCGAAGTTTTGTTTTTAACTAGCAAGTTAGCTAGCGTTGAGTGAAGTGGAAGGTACTTGGGGTCCTGAGCTAACGTTAGCGTCATCAATTAGCTACAACTCTACATTATTTGGTAACAATATACATAACGAAAACAGCCATCTACCAGATAAAAATTAAAAAGATGAATTTGGAAAGAGCTGCTATTGTTAGCAAGCATGCAAGCGGCGAATACATTTTGTTAATTAGTTCAGGTAAAGTCAGCACCCTAATCTTAAGCTACATTTGCTTAGCTACTAAGTTAGCCTACCTATTTTCTTTATAAGGGGAGATAACTCCATATCCGGTGTATATTGCGTTTCCCTTTGTAAAAAACAGATGAAAAAGCTTCATCAGCTATTAAGGCTTGTCAGTTCAGTTGGTGGTTGCCTGCCAGTGTCATGTCAACAACGTCTGCCCGGGTTTGTTTTCAACAACCGCGCCAGCGTCACTCCACTTCCGGTAGTGGACCAGGGTGCGTTCAAGAGGTACAACTGCAGACCATAGACTGTATATAAAAAGCTGGAGACACAGAGTTACTAATCCGCTTCCAAAAGTCATTCACATGGTAGATGTAGCTACAATAATACAAGCACCTAAAGGAAAATGACTCTTTAACGTAATTATATTTATAAACTTTATTGCAACAATAAAGGTCCTAATAGACCACAAGTCACCTGTGCCCAAATTTCAGCTGCATATAGGTAAAAAAACAAAGAAACATTTGAAAAGGACCCCCCCCCAAATACAGTATTAGCAGTAGATCACAAATGATCAGATGATGTCTCTAGTTGGCCTTTCTTTCAACTGTGTTTGTCACGTGACTCATATGATTTGCCACATACTAGCACCACTCTCATCTGATCTTTTGAAATGTTCTGTAAACATGCTTGAGCGATTTTTCTTGCCAGGATCATTAGTGTTGCAAGGCATGTTTCAAATCATTGAAGGCTTTTGCATTGCTGACATATTGAGTGAAGTTTTGACAGCATCCACATTATCCTGTCATTAAACTAATCTTCTCAAACATTGATGCTCACAAAAATCAAAGGTGATGTGCCTTGCCTCTTAACACAAGTGCAGATATAAATTCTTTTCATACTGTGTGTAAGTTAATCTAATTGCATCGGCTCTCACACTTGAGATGTGATGTGAATATGATCATCCGACAGGGTGATAATTAACTAACTTAGCAAATGATAATTTGATATGACAATAATATGATCACACAGCTTTTGAGAATTCAGGAGGGATTTCAGCCCATAATTAATTTGGCCATGTACTATACTATCACCTAGATTCTTTGGAGTTTGAGGAGGTAGAAGGGAAATGATCATTTGTACTTTCATAATCCATGTTGGTACATTTTACCAATATCCCACTCCACTTTATCCTTAAGTTATTTCAAATTTAGATACAACACTTTCCTCGCAGTCTTTGCCAACATCACATATAGCCTTTCTACCCTTGCTCTTGCATCATATAGCGTAATTCATTTAAAATTGAGAAAGAGCTTTTTATGCTGCACCATTATACTAAATGGAAAATCATTTTACTCGCACATCCCTTCAGTTTTGTATGACATGCAGTATTTGTTGTCTGGCCCAGAATTTAAAATGAAGTTTTGTGGGTTGGAACAGAGGTTGTCCGCACAACATGAGTCATATTGATGGAGCTGCCAAAGGGTCCATTGACCAGTGGAGGTTAAAAAATTTATTCCGGTTCCCCCAGCCTCTCATACAGTATATAGGACTGAGTTTTATGGATGTTTTCTACATTCTACAGATGTACATTGAAAGTTACATCCAAACAGCTGAGTAGGCCTTCTTTACCTGGAGGAAAAATACATCGCTCTAGGCCAGGCTACGAGTTCTCAATAGTGTTTCAGTCTGCTCCAAACAGTACATCATATCATTTTTATTTGACAACCACTGTGTGTCTTGGATCATTTGTTAGTATCAACTGCAGACAAGAAGCAAAACGTCACTTTTAATGAATGAAAACATGGGGTAAGGTGTTTGTCATTTAGCCTTGCACATTTGTTCATCAGGGATAAGATATGCTTTTCCCACAGACGTCTTTTCAGATGTTTTTGTTAATTTTCCCTCATTTCATAAAAACTCCCTTCATTCATATTTCTTGCAAACATTTTTGTGGCACATTGTAAATCATATGCAAAATCTGTCAGTTGTTTAACATCAGTCTAAATTACTCATATGCCAGAAACCACCTCAGGCTTTTCATGAATGTAAGCCTGATCACTGAGTGGAAATCATGCCAGTTTAAATACTTTGAAGGCAGATTTACAAGCGAAGCATCTCGGTGTCTGGACTCTCACCACAGTCAAAACTGATTCTGAGTTGGCCAACCTGGACAGAAATCATGGCGCACTTAACTATTGATCTGCATTTTATCTTAGAGATATTTGACTGACGCTATGTGCTAGAGCTGTAAAAGTAGTATGAATGTACAGTATAGTTTTTTCTTAGACAAGCTTAACACATGGCGGAAAATTACAACACATTATGGACGGGGGAGATATGTCAAACCTTATATTTTACTTTTTTAAAAAGCACATATTTGTCCTATTAGCTATTGATTGCGGGAAAAATGAATCCCAATCATATAGTCATCTGCATAGTGCATAGTAACCACTGTTTCTTCTTTATTAAAAAAATCTTTTAAGGAAAGTGAAATATAAATTTGCGGTGACCATATTCATGCGCTCCCAAAAACAAACAATTATAACCCTCCTCATTTTCTAACCTCCTCTCTTCCCCTCATAATTTTTGTGCAGCCCTCTTAAGCGTAGTCATAGCACTTTAAAAGTGAATAGAAATGTGCGGAAGAGCTGCCAGAGACTACAAAAACATTGGTTGTTACCCTGATGGCTTTTCTTGTATAAAACAAGGTCAAATCAGCTAATTAATCATATCATTATTGTAATTGTCCAGAATCCAGCTCCCCATATGGCAACAAAATGCAAGGAGTTACTACCAGAATTAATGATGTGGAATCAAGGGTGACGTTATAACAGACTCTAAGAACAGGAGCAAGAAAGTTATTCATTGTTCTAACCAGGCAGACATTTGGATTGAGTTCAAGTCTCTATAGCTGAGTCATTACATTATATGTGCACACAGCTGGTGTAGCAATGATTAATGCATCTTTGAAACCTCTTATCCAAGGAGGGGGGGGATGATATGAAGGAGTGATTAAGTCATTGGTCACTCCTTAGTTTTTAAACAACGCAAAAAAAAAAGGAATCTGCTGAAATCAACGTGAGACACCAAAAGAATGAGGCGGAGTTGTGGACATCATCCTTACCATAAATGCTCAGACTGCATTTTGAGGCTAAACTATTCCTACGTTATTCCGCAGTCGCTCCTGAAACAATACCCAAATGGTCCCACTGGCCCTGTCACTGTTTGACATGCCTGCTGTACCCGTCTTCCGCTCCACTGCAAGTGTTGAGGATATGAGGGTGGGCACCGAGGGGCCCCCGACAATCCCCCATCGGCAAAGGAGTCAAGTCAAAGGACTGAGTCAAACTGAAGCAAGCGCAGACATATTGTGCAAATAATTTATGGCTGATGCAGCATTCATTTGAAATTAAGATGAAACGCGGGGAGCTTCCCCACGTGTAGAGGTATCTCATTAAACAGTGTGGCCTGCTCCATGTGTACAATGTTCCGTCTTGACTTGAGATTCAGTGTTATGAGTCGTGCTTATAAATAAATTCAAATTCTTTTGGAATTATTGATCTCGAGACACAGAGAGGTGCTCCAGGGGCCCTCATAGGTTTTGCTCTGTGGTGTTTGACAAAATAACGCGGATACTCAATTTCAATCAACCTATTAGAGCAAGATTTCATTTATGTAAAATCTAAACAGCCTGTTATTATTAACTGTTTGATCTGTTTATCCTGTCATAACAAAACAGCCTGGGTTATGCCCACAGCTGAATATTAACTTGTTTTTACTGTCTGGCAACAAATATCAACCAGACTAAAGTTTGTTTGTCAGGTCTAATTTAGCTTGTAGAGACACTGCATCCTTGCTTCCCAATGTCCTTGGTGCTATATCTAAGAGCTGCCACCCCTCCTTCCTCCCCCTCCACCAGCCCTTCCCTCCTGTGCCAACACATCAAGTGAAGGCAGCCTGATCAACCCTAATAGGGCCTGGTAATTAGAGTCTTTGCATAGAGCCTGTCTGCACGCAGCTGCCCTAAGCAGGTTGGGGAAGGACTGCCATACACTTGACAGTGTGGAAAAAACAATGTAATGTTCAGTATATGGGCCAAATTAGCCTGGCAGTGGTAAACACAATCTACTTTAAAACAATACTGACACTAATTAGGCAACCAATGTATCATTTCAGAGTTCAAGTTTTAGTTGCTGTATCAAATACTTGAAAATACTTGGCGAGCCAATTTGATGTTTCTAGAATACAAATTAGAAAGACCTTCCTGCATAAAGGCTAAGCACAGATGGCATTAAGGGGAAAAAGTGTAATGGATGATATTTCTCCAGTTATCTGGTGTGGAAAATGGAATCCTGATTATTACTTTGGAGTAATGGTATAAAGTTGATGTAAACTGTATGGTGTAAATCACAAGAAAACAAGCAGAAAAACAAGCAAATCAAAAAGACAGCCCTAATTGTTTTTGCGATAACCTAAACCCTTAAAAAAAAAAAATGGGTTCAATCAGTTTTAAGTTTTACATATTTTTAGGTATCTTCAAAAGCACCGGCTTTATATCCCCCCCCCACACACACACACACAAATATCATCACTGCAATCAACCACTATCTGCAGAACCTGACCAAAACACACAAAATATCTGGAATCTATCAGTTGTCAAGTTTCTTTACAAGAAACTATCAAGGCATGATAGTTTGGATGAAAGATTGGATTACATATTAGTGATTTAGGATAATTAAGAAAAAAAATCACTCCTTATTAGACATGCCAGCTGTGTCACACTAAATCTTCCCATGCACACATTTTAAAAACGCTGTCTGGGGAACAAATCTTCAGTCATTTGTAATGCCACAGAAAGCTGGTTTGTATCTCTGCTATTATGAGTGAACGGAGTAGGTAACTTTCTTTCAGTCTTCTTTCGATAGAGCTTCTTATCAATTTCCATTTCAAATACAACACCTCTTTGAATGTTGATGAGAGAATGTTCAAAGTGGTGGCAACATATGTTATATACCTTGCTCTAAATTTCATTTAGAATGACCTACTATAAGTATGTCGAATCCTAGCCAATGACACATCTTTACAACTTCTTTTTTGTATCTAAACCAGAGTATAAAGCATTTATATGTCCATATTCAGGATCTCCCTGTATGTGTGAATGTAGATTTGTAACTACAATGACATAATCACCAATACAGCAATTGCGCTGGCCATCGCTTTTGTTCATATGTGTTTATGTCTTATTTATTTGTTCATTTTCAAAGCTCTCTATTTAGTTTTCAGGAGACAGAGCATGAGGGGTTTTTGCAATACCTTGCTCCATACCAAGGAGCTGCCCATCACAACCACATCCTTCTACTTTGGGCAACTGAGCAGCTCCAGTAGAGCACTTACAGTGCAATAGTTTGCTCAGACGCATTCACTGGCTTTAGGGAGGGAGAAGTACTTGCTAACTAATATGAGCTTTGTGTGATCTCTGAGATCAAATTTTCTTCTCAAACCTAAAGGTATTTCCAAACACACCTCTCATTATAACATTAATTAACTGACATAAAAAAAATATGTAACAGATCAGGTCTGTTTTGTCTGAATTATTATTTTTTTTATAAGGTTGTAGTAGGCTACACATATTTTCTCATTTGAATAAGAAAGTATTTATTTTCAATATGGATATTTTATCATTTGCCGATTAAATAAAATGATTTTGAAGCTAGGTTAATTAATTTTCTTTTTTTGCTGAACTATGCAAATGCTTTGTCAGGGTCGGGGTTATGTCTGTCTGTCTGCCTCTGGGATGTAAAACTTGCTGGAGCTGCTTTGAGTCTGATTCGCTGCATCTGAATCTGCTCCCACAATTCAACAGGCAACAAAGGAAGAAAGGAAGAGGCCGTAAGCTACAAAGTGTTAGCCAACCCAGGCAGAAAGATGACACCTTATTGTGTGAGTCTAGTCGGCAATGTAAACATGCACGTTTAGAGAAGTATTGAATCTGGCCGTACATACGCTTTATACTTTCGTCTGGGCGCAGAAGCTGATTAGAGGGAAGGTAACGGTAATGTTTTCGACAGTAAACGCTAACAAAGCTAGCTGATTGGCTAAGGTAGTCAGCTAACATTAGCCAACAATCGTCAAGAAGCGAACCTTTCATGAACATATTGCACAAGACAGATGCCACCACCATTGGGTTATTTTGCCCAGTAAGACAAGCAGGTAAGAGACTATATGATGTGCAGATTTAAAAAATATTTACAGATTACAAATGGACTCTGAAAGTAGATATGCTAACAAACTAACTGGTTGGTAGCTGTTTCGTGTTAGCATACAAGCAAACCAACGTCTTTTAAATTGGTTAGATCAATCGGTTATCCTCATTTTGTTTCCTATTCTCTTAATAGTTACTGAGTACCATATAAATCAATGTTGGAGCATTCAGTTTCTCCATTTTGTCATTAAAGGCGCATGCTAACGAGCAGAGCTAAGCTAAAGGCATGCTGTTGTGTCCGTAGGCCTTGCCAGGTCAGGACAAACCTTGCTAAGGTTGGTTTAATTATGACACGCCGTTTGTTCTAAGTGGTTATGAAGGTGCAAGTTGTGTTTTTTCCTCTTTTTTAAAATCATGTGCGACCTAAAAGCGTAGGAGTTTTCTAATCGGCTGTCTTTATTTTTCATAGCATCAAATGAAAGGTGGTGGAAGTGGAACTTGACCCATCCAACTGAGTCACCATTTTCCTGCACATAATGGTGAGTAATCAGATTGCAGCTGTCTTGATTATCAAGCAGCTTTGTTTAGGCGTTTCAAGTGGCACATGTCTCCACATACTGATTTAGTCTTGTTTGCCTGACCTGTCATAGTTTTTGACAGATGAAAAAGCAATGATATATTTATTTCTCAAAATCATGACTTTTATACAGTGTGGTCAGTGAGTATTTGGACAGTGACATATTTTCTACCGTTTGGAACGACAAACTACAGCATTGCATCTAAATTGAATTGAAATAATCACTGTAATGTACAGGTGCTTGCTTTTAGCTGTAGGGCTGTTTGAAGTTGGTCACATCTCTATTGGTGGAGCAGTGTCATCTATTGTAAACAATGCAGCGGGAAAGTGATCCTGAACATGCAGTCAAAGCAAGCAAGGAGTTTTAAGGGCAAAACAGTGACAGCAGCACTGACAGAACATCACATGGCAAAATACCATGCAAAGGATTTGTAACCAGATGCACATAGTACAAAAAACATAAACATAATGCTTTTATTTATGTTTGTGTAATTTGTCCAATTAAATTGCTTCCCCTACCAGCTCGTCAACCAGCTATATATCCAGCTATTTTATTAAAAGATTACCCATTTTAGCAACTTTTCAAGCAAAAATTTCTACTTCCATCCTCTCAGTTATGAGGATTTGCTGCCTTTGTTTGTGTTAGGTAAAATAATAACTTGATGCTAAAGTTAACATCTGAAGGTTTGACAGAGAAAACAAGACATTTGATAGCATTACATTGGGCTTTTAGGGAAGTTGTAATAGGCTTTTTTCATATTTTATTCCAGACATTTTACAAATTAATTGAGAAATTATTTTCATTATTAATTGATATGATAATAATTTCTAGTAGTGACCCTGAGTGAATACAACAAAACGTATTGACTTTTGTCCAAATACCTGGGGACTGCTTTAATTGGCTATAACATGCTGTCCTCTCATTATTTTCAATCTTTCCATTGTGATGGGCATGTTATTATCTGAATCTCGCATTATGCTGTTAATGGGCATAAGTCCATATTATGAGCATAATGCATGCAACCCTGTTTTTTTCCCCTGGAGTGAGTGTTTTTTATAACCTAGAATATCTCTCATGTTTTGTGTGTTTTTGTTTTCGCAGGGTTTGATGGCTCCACTGTATGCATGACTTGTTTCGTGTGGCCTGATGGGAGGACACTGTGGATAGTACTTTCATCAGGATACCAGGAGAGCCATCCCATGCCGCCACTTTGGAGGGCCTGTCAGAATGAAGAAGATAAGCCTTAAGACCATCCGCAAGTCCCTCAGCATAAAGGGCAAAGAGGAGGGTGACTTTGTCATGCTCCAGCAGCCCTCGGTGACTACTGAGTTTTCAAAGGAAGAGTCACTTTTTGGGGGCTGCTACACCAAAGAGCTCTCTGGCTGTGACCTTGGTGGAGAAGAAGACAAAGGGGGGCAGAATAAGGGCCGCTCAAAGAGTGAGAGTCTGATGGGATCACTAAAGAGGAGGCTGTCTGCCAAGCAGAAGGCAAAAGTGAAAGGAGGCTCATCTGCCATAGGCTCTGTGGATGATGATGACACCTTTTCATCTTCTTCTGTACCCATCAGCTTCAACGAGGTGAAAGCCCAGAGACCCCTTAGATCTTCATCACTACGAAGTCACCATTATAGCCCCTCACCATGGCCTCTGCGATCAGTCAACTCTGATGATTCGTGTATTAAGATGGAGGTCAAAGTTAAAGCCATGGTTCACTCACCTAGCCCCAGTCCCAGCTTAAACGGTGTCCGGAAAGAATTTCATGATTTCCAGATGGAAGGGCTCTTTCAGGACCAAGCAGAATCCTTAAAGAATCTCCAGCAGCCACAAAATGGTGAGCTGCATCTAAATATTGATGAAAATGATGTGCCTGTGGTGCTGGGGTTGACGCCCCAGGACTACATCCAGTACACAATGCCTTTAGATGAGGGAATGTACCCGGAAGGGTCCCACTCTTTCTGCCTGGACAGCTCCTCTCCTATGGAGGTGGTGACTGAAGCAGACAATGGGTCCCTCCACACAGACCAGGGACAAGAGGAACATGAACTGGTTAGTGGGTTGCCTCCGGATCTCTTCATGGAAACCTCAGTTAATAGTCTTCTCATCGGTTCTGCTGGTGTGATGCTCCAAAGCTCTAGAGTAGAGGTCCCGCCTCCCCTCTCTCCACTCCTGCCACCCATGACAAGTAATGGACATATCCCCAGGACTTTTTCGGGGTTCAGCTCTTCAGACAGCCAGGTAGCTGAGAGGGTAAGACACCACCTCAACTTTGACCCAAATTCAGCTCCTGGGGTCAGTCGGGTGTATGACTCAGTCCAGAGCAGCGGACCAATGGTCGTAACCAGTCTGACGGAGGAGCTGAAGAAGCTGGCGAGGCAGGGCTGGTACTGGGGCCCCATCACACGCTGGGAGGCAGAGGAAAAGCTGGTCAACTTGGCTGATGGCTCATTCCTGGTCCGAGACAGCTCAGACGACAGGTACCTGCTCAGCCTGAGTTTCAGGTCACAGGGCAAAACCCTCCACACCCGCATCGAACACTCCAATGGACGCTTCAGCTTCTACGAGCAGCCCGATGTGGAGGGACACACGTCCATTGTTGACTTAATTGAACATTCTATCAAAGACTCGGAGAACGGAGCATTTTGCTATTCCAGGTCTCGCTTACCAGGGTCTGCAACCTACCCTGTCAGACTAACCAACCCAGTATCTCGGTTTATGCAAGTGCGCTCCCTGCAGTACCTTTGTCGCTTTGTCATTAGACAATACACAAGAATAGACCTGATCCAGAAACTGCCCTTACCTAACAAGATGAAAGATTATCTGCAGGAGAAGCACTACTGAGGACACAGACAGGACAGTGGTAGCAATTTGCACTTTTGTGTTCAGTTGAGAGATTTAAACAAGGTTTACAGACAACCACGGTTTTGAGATGATTAGTTCTGGTGGCTCTTGATTTGTGTCCAGGTGACTCTGTTGCTGTTTAGTCCTCCATTCCACTGTTTTTCGCTGGTTTTAGGAGCCTCTACTTCCAGAAACACAGGCCAGCACATAAACTATTGCAAAAATATAGCAGAGGTTTACAGTCAAGTTATCTTAGTTCCATACATTAGGTGCAGACATTAGGCATGCTTTGTGATGTGTTGTTAAGTGTAACATCCAGCTGTGCAAGTAGAACCAAATTTTCATAAATTTGCTGTCTGCATTACAGTTGGGCCAGTAAGAAAAATAAAATTCTACTCCAATTCATTTAATTTTTATCCACTAAATTGTACTTTTCAGACATGATTTCAAGGATGGAGATTTTTTTTTTTTTTAAATCAAATTTTAAGCTCTCAGCCGACTGACCAACTTTGATCATCTTTTGCATCTTATTATTTCTTAGATTGTGTGATGGTAATATGTCAGCATGACCAGACTGCAAATTAGAACACCACTTTGTCTGCATTCATAATATGCAATTAGTAGAATTGCAATGCTAGGCGTCTTTGTATTTTTTAAACAACCTAAAGCAAAACCTCAGTTTTGCTCAAAATTGCTTTCATTGCATTAACCAGATTTTTTTTTTTTTACTAATTTACAAATGGAACTACTTTTCTAGTGGATGCAGTTTCTTCGTAAAGTATAATGCAACTCTGTCATGGCATATGACACCTGACGTACTACAATTACATTTCTGCTTCAGTATGGTTAGATCGGTGTGTGCTTTGTCATGTTTGTTACTTTCAGCTGTTTTGGTGTATGATCAAGCAAGTTTTAACGCTAACCACAGTGCCATAGAAGTAAAAACTCGATGTGTAAAGTCCTTTTCAGAGTCACACAGGTTTACCAGGTCCACAACATGAACATTTTGTTGCAAAAGATGTCCAAAGATCGCCGGTCTGTCAGAGGCTTTTAACGGTTGGTTAGAGAAGTAGCTTTAAATTGTATGGCTGCATGTAGCCAGTATATTGTAATGTGCAAGCCTAAAGGTACTGATGATGCTGGATTTTTCATGTTGTGCTGTTTGTAGAAACAGCATCAAGTCGATGTATAGATCTTTTCAAAATATGTTAACATTAGAAGTTAAATCTTTCTGCATTAGGAATGTTACAAAAACTGCACCGCAGCTCAGGCCTAACAACTTTGTCACTGTCAGTAATGCTTGTATCTGCATGTCGTAAAGGCTTTAAGACTGTCAGTTAAGGGCACTGTAGAGTTACTCTAAATGAGTGAAGATGTCACAGCAAAAGGGTGTAAGATTTTGGCTGTGTTGCTTAAGTGCAACTCTGAGTAAAAGGCTGTTTAATGCACAATTGCGTTTACCTTAGGCAGTTCAGATGTAAAGAAAATTGCCCTCAATTACCCTACAACTGAAAACCGATCTCAAGTCAATTGACCTGCATCTGTATGTGAGGATGGCTGTTTCTTAGTCTCTCAATGCCAGCACTGAACTGGACCCAGATCAAAGGAATCCAAAAAATGGTGTGAGCTTAGGTCAATGGATTTGGCAAAGCCAGGGTGAAGTCCTCGTCACCATCTTAGAGTGAAGCCAGGGTTTTCAGCAAATGACAAAAGTTCCATCACAGCTGCATGGCATCATTAGTGTCATATGAATTCCAAGGTCATTTTAAAAAAAAAAAAAAAGAAGAAAAAAAAAAAAAAAAGCATCCAACTTTTGTCATTGCTTATTCACATCGTCCCCAGTCCCCACAGAGCTGCACTACCCCACAGATTGTCTCGCTACTGGGCTGTTTGTGCCAGAGTAAAGGGAAGAGCACACAGTATGCTACGCAAGTGCTTTATATGGATACTTTGACAGGGAATTGTTTTTTCACATTATGAATGAGCATCTTTTTTGACATCAGTGTCCTTAAAAGTATTTGGAAAATGGTCTCTCAGACAACTTTGGTAGGTTGTTAGCGCATAGTTCTAGTTTTAGTTAGCTAGAAATGTTGGTGTCTGAGGAAGTTACCATGAATCTAGCACAGCAGAAATTAGATAGGAACTTTGAATGGTGTTGCATGTTTAAAGACTTAGCATTTTAAAGCTTTGAGTTGTATAGGAATGAAGGATCTAGGATGTGTGTTTGGCTGTATAGAAGGATGTTTTTTTTTTTTTTTTTTTTTTTTTTTTTTCTGTCACAAACATTGGCTGGACATTCTCTGTACAAGAAATGTATTTTTCTTTTTTTGGAATCCTTTAGTGAATTTTTTGTGACATTTGCCATCTGGGGGATGGGGCTGTACAAAAGGAATGTACGCTTGTTTGAGGTATCCATTTTATCTGCCTGCAAACCAGTTTCAGAAAGCATGAGAATCATAAAAACTACATTGACACATTTTTTTGCACTTGAATATTCTCCATTGACATGCTTGGATCCTCTCCTGCCTAGAGTTGTCCTTCAGATGGCATTTAAAAAAAGAAGAAAGAAGAATTAAAAGTCACACATTTGTCCTTATGTGTTCATATAAATGTTTAGATTAAATGGAGATTGTTTTGTTCTTGTCATATCTGTGGGATATAAAGGGTAAGGCACCAGCATCATATCTAAGCCTCTGCTAATGCTCACGGGCTGTCAAGGAATGGGATCATAGCAAGAATGTGGATGTAAATTTCATTTGTCTTCTTTTGGGTGCGTGTGTATGTGTTTCATTTGAAATGTGAAAGTAAAATGTTAGTCTTTTTTTAATACAATGTTGTTTTAATTGTATTTCTGTGTTTTAATTTGCAAATGACAAGCAGGAACCAGTTTCATATGGTGTTGCTGCTGTGATTTTTCAAAAATACTTATTTTGTTTATTATTAAGCATTATTGCCTTCAGTGTTTGATTCCAGAGGTTGATGCTTGTTAATAACAGCTGTTTAGCACTTAACAAGCTCCAACATTTTTTTTTTTTTTTTTTTTTTTGGTTTGTTTTTTTTGTCCGCGAAGGTGATTGTTTACAACGTTATGTTTGGAAATTCCCCTCCCTTCCCCCCTTTTTTTTTTTTTTTTTTTTTTTTTTTTTTTAACCCTCTCTCACATGAACATCTTGGTATGTTGGTACAATTTGAAAACTCTTTTTATTTCATTTTAATGTGTTGGACACATTTGTGCTGCTTATGGATATGATTGCCTTTCTTGTATTTAACAATGGGGAAATAGAATGTCACCAGTGTAGGTGTGTGTACACATGACAACTCTGGTTATCATCCTGGGAGAGCAAAGCAGATTTGCAATTTGTTAACAACTGTAGTCAGTTAAAAAGAGCATTAGTAGCGATTAGAAAACCCTCTGTAGAATTACCAGTTCACTCCAGTTTACATTGGTTGTCAACTGTCAACTTTCCAAAGTAGATGGTCTTTTTGTATTTTTCTTTTGGAAAAAAAAATCAACAGTGATTTATTGCACAGTTTGGATACCGTTCAAGAGTTTTTTGTATCTGCCAATTATAAATTATAAATAAAAAAAACTATATTCTAAAAAAAAAAAAAAAAAAAGAAGTTTGTTCTGTCTTTGTACACTCTTCTATCACTCACATTAAACTTATTGCTGTACACAGAGTTCAGATGACACCGTATTGGAGCAAGTGATGCACTTGACAAGAGCCTGATCGTGCTTGTAGTTGTGTTAATGGATCAAATCATAGAGTCTTAAGGAGATTCTTTCCACAGTGGGTACAAATTGGCAGCTAATCCCACAGCTCTGGTTGCTTAAATTACAGAGACAGACTGGGAGGTCTTACAAATACAACTGAGTGAAGCAGAGACTCTGGGGAAAGATTAGCAGCGATGCTACCGTCCTCCCTTTAACTTCACTTTAAGTCGACTCTGGAGAAACAGTGAGTTCTTGTATTGTAGGAGAGGAGGAGAAGATGGGGGTGGGGTGGGGGGGGTAATGGTGTCAGGTTTGGACTTGGATCTCCTGAAACATGGTCGGCATGATGATGAGGAGGTAGGCTTTGTTAACTGCTGTGTCTGACAGGCCTCTCCAGGCATCTGAGGTGAAGATACACAACTGTTTACTCTCTCTGCCCGGTTCAGGATGATTTATTCATAGCGCACGCCGGTGGTCGCGTGTCATACGGAGATGCCTCCATCATAAAAGGACTCATCTTTGCCTTCCACTGTTATTTTTTTTAAATTTGCAGCTTTTCAAACTGTTTATATTCAGAATTTAACAGGAGAGATGTTACTTTGCTGAGAGAGTGCAACTTGTCATGATGTGACTCGGCATCTCGGCGGTTTCGGGTTTGTCTGCAGACGTTGTGATATTGGACCCGCTCACTCTGCCACCTCACGCCCAGGATGTTGCCTACTTAATTCACAGTGCTTCACTGCGCGGTTGTTCTTGAAGGGGAGCCGTCGCTTGACAAAATGTTGTATCGGTTGCTGTTTCGGCAAACATCGAAATGACACAAGTAAAACAAATTTTTGACACATCAGTGGAATTTTTGGAATGTGAAACTTCATTCGTTTGTCGTTTGATCCGTAGAAAAACCAAATTGTAGAAGCAGGCTGCGGGTTTCAGGAAGGTGCGGTGCCAAGATACAGTCCACAACCCTTCCGAAAACCACAACATGTGTACTGGTTTCTATATGAATTCAACTAATGAGATACAACATGCTAATTAGACAGTTATAGAGGTGCTGGTGTGTGGATTTTGTTGAGCTGTACTAGCGATTTCTTTGTGCTAAGCTAAGCTAACCAGCTGCTGGCCTTGTTTACGGCAGGCCAAACAATTCAAAAGCCTCACCGGGATAGACACCGACTACCGTATCCACCTGTCTCTCTCTGTTCGGATCTTGGTTCGACGTCCAACCAGACAGCGCTGTCGGAGTTGGGTCGGGGCGCCACGTCCAGCTGGATGGGTGGCGACTTGTCTGGGTATTAGCTTTTCAATCATGTGGTCTCCCATGCTTATTTACAGCGGGAGAGAGATGTCCAATTGTCTAAACCAACAACAATAGGTCTTTAGAGCTAGAGCGGTGAGAGTGAACCAAAACTAACAACAAAAGATAAACAATGTACTGCTACTCACTATAGAGCTCTGTAAAGCCCAGGGGAGCTGCAGATTTGGGCGATTATTCTCTGCACTATACGATAGACCCCTCTCACATTGTCACGCTTGTCATTTGATAGATTGTTAATATACGAATTTAGATTATAGCTGCTTTAAGACCTTGTTACAGGAGATAATCTGGCCTGCTGTCCTCATATTAAAAATAGTCAATTTGGGAGTGTGAGCAGATTCTTTTCCTGCCTTTTTTTTTTTTTTTTTTTTTTCGATTTTGCGGTGGTGGACTGCATTTCTTTTCAATTTGCACCATGCGCCGCGCCTGAGAATTTGAAGACCAAAGCATGAACAGCCGAAGACAGCGAACGCACAATCCTCGCAGTGCGTGTCGACACAAAAGCGCTCATTTGGGAGCAAATTTCCTCTCAGTGTGGTTCTTAGTTTGAAACTGTTTACTCTGGGGAATCCATCCATCACATGTCTGCTGTCTCAGATTGATGATCCATTCCTACCATCTGGTGCACTGCGTGGTGCACCCATTTTTCACCCACAAACAGGGATGATGTTGACAGCTTGAATTAGCCAGCAAACATATATATCGCTTTAAATTGTCATGCCAGGAAAACATCGGTGGGTCTAGCTGGTAATGATAAAGCTGAGGTTACCTGCTGGCAGCAGATGTCTTTCAGCCCAGAGTGAAAGGTTCAGCTCTATTAATGCTTGTGATCTCATGCCAACAGTGCCACACACCACCGAGACCCTCATCTTCTCCATCTATCATGCATTAGATGCCTCTGAACCCCAATTAGCCCTGTTAGAGTAGGGACTGCCTTCATCATTACCAGGTCTCCACTGAAACAACAGCTCTTCGTGGTATTTGTTGTGATCATTCCTCACAGTTTCCCATGTATTTGGGGAGAGTATGTTTGTTGAAGTTCAGCTTGGTAGCTTCCACTGTGTGTGAGTGTATGTGTGTGTGTGTGTGTGTGTCTCATACTGTTGTGGAGCATGTCTCTACATCAAAACGCCTTTCATCACAGTCCCCCTTCCAAAAGTGATATCTCTACCCACACCAAGGAAAGATAGGATTTAGCAAACAAAGTGCATCTTACTGTGAGCACAGCTTCAGTTACTCTTTCTGAGAAGAGCAAGTACTCCAAGATTCTTGAGAAAGTGAGCGTGGTTAATGACCAGAAAATGGCTGAACCAGATGGCCTCAGCTCCAGGGTGTCAGCAAAGAAGAAGCCGGCCAGTTTGATATTTGATTGATAATTTTTCAAGGAAATTGTTCCTTTTGTGAGGGCCACTCATGCTTTACATTTTATATGATTAATACGTGATTTTGTGTCAACTATAATAATGTTCTTTGTGATATTATTTGACAGCAGGAAATGTAAATTAGCTACCTGAGCTAAAGAAAGAAAGACGTCTTTATAATTACAAATGGCGTAGGCACAAAGGCTTGGGATTATAATGATATGCAGGAAGTATGTGCGTTTATGTGTGTGTGCCTAGCTTCCAGCGCAGACTGAAGGCCAAGGGGAGTCGTAAGACGGTCATAATTATGTCATTAAAAAGAGTGACATCTGGAACTCGGGGGCCATCGAGTAACACGGATTACCCACCTCCTTCCCTCCTTTGCCCCCTGTGACAGTGACAATCCACTCTCATCCCCCAACAATCTGCCCATCCCTCACACGGGGGCAAGGTGTGTGTGTGTGTGTGTGTGTGTGTGTGTGTGTGTGTGTGTGTGTGTGTGTGTGTGTGGGGAGGGTGCAGCGGGGGTGAACAGGTGGCGGCCATCAGGAAATGGATGGGGAATGTTTTGAATGGGAAACTTGCCTCCATTCCTCACGGAGTACCTGGGTGTCTGCCCTTCACCAGTGGTCCAAGAGGCACAGCGAGGACGGGAGAGATGAAATGAGAACAGGTGGTGGTGTGTCGTTTAGCGAGGAATGGAGTTCCCCCCGTAGCTCTGCGAAAGCACAGCCAATAGAGCAATACGGACTACACCCTTCACGACAGGATCCCTAACCTTACTGCTCACAGGTCTCTGTGGGTCTCACACTGTATCCAAAACAAGAGAGCTCCGCGGATACAGCTCAGCACGTCACGCTTTACAATGCCGGTTTAAAT